TTCATGTTACAACAATAGAGTTTTCCGGGTGAAAAATGACCCCGACAACCTGCATTATGCACATATTGTATTGCCATTGCACAGATTTTCGCATAGAACACTCTCGCAAGAGATTATGGAAATATCCTGTTTTTTTCACCGACACTATATACATTGGGAATACATAATGCATATGTGTTTAAATGTATTGGGCGATATGAAATCAAATTACAATGAAGACCAGAAAATTATGTTAAATTATATTATTAATACATTGTCTGATTTCAGGCAATTGGTGTAATTTTTCGATAACTCTATACACTTTATCACCTTTATCTAATGAATGAAATAATTAATATTCCTTGCAATGTATATTCCAATAATAAACTTGCGCTTTATTGCTGAAATCAGCTGTGACATTATTAAATGTGAAATGTAGTTTTCACAAGTCTATTTGTTATGAAAATGCACTTCAACATTGTACTTCTCGTAAAATTTTATATTCACAGTTGAATTTGCAGTGAAAGAAGAATACTTTGTTTCTCCAATGAACAAATGAAACTTATTTTAAAATATTTGCTTCAAATAGGAAGTAATTGAAGTCACAAGAAGTTACGGCTTAAAATGTATTACTAAATGCGCATTACATGTGCGTTTCCTTTAAAATCCAATTGAATTGTTTTCTTTTCAAACACCTCCGATGATTGACCCCGCGTTTGAAGTGCTCCTTTTTTTTGAGCAATCATACGTTCGTGCGATATGGAGGTGGATTTTTGTCGAATGTTGGAGATGAAAAGCTTGTCCAATCAACACCCACGCCCAAATTGTGCATAATTTACGATAGTCCCTGTACGATAAAGAGATGATCCACACGGGAGAGGAATGATATTAATAAATCGTTCCGGACCATTTGGTGTGTCAGCAAATTAACAGTGGCGGCATCACGTTGTTTAACAAGATCATCATCCTCGATGATTGAGCCCCAATGTGAGGACTATCGAGGCGGACGTTTTATGTGATCTCCATTGAGTAGGCAACTGCGTTAATCATCTCGATGATCTGGCGGATAAAAAGTTTAGTGGTCTGAAGACACTCGGCGCCTCGGAATTCTCAATTTTCACGCGATATGGCCTCTCAAATTGCACATGGCTGAGGGAGAGAGAGAGAGAGAGAAAAAAATCTAAGTGGGGCAGAAATGTGCCAAGTTGAGGCCATTGTAGTGGCTTTTCTGGAAATGACGATGAAGAGAGCTCGTGGAGAAATTCTCGATGGGGAAGTCACGCGAGTAAATTGTGAAGCATAAAATGATATTCTTATTATTTTTAGAATTGGGAGAACCGCACACAACTCTCGCAATGTGCAGAGCAGTTTTGAAATCTGACGATCGTCGATCGACTATCTCAGATGTTCTGACTCAAATGTGAAAGTTTTTCACATCTCTGTGCTGCCTTTTTTCCAATGTAAATTTCACACGAAATCAATCACAAGATGATGAAAAAAAAGGCATCATTGGGTGAAAGTTTGTACAAGAACTTGTAATACACTTTTGTTTGTGTTTTCCCAATATTTCTTCTGTATTATTTTGTTTGGAATATTGTATACTTTTACGTTCTTTTATGATGACCATTTGGTGTCGATTATTTTACTATTCATGTGTAAAGTTTGGAGGAGAAAGGAGAATGACGAATCACATGAGAGAAAATTCCATTGACTGTGTGGGATTTCGTGGAAATTAGATCAAACATCCCAAACGTCCAACTATACTGGGAAAATTGGCTTTTTTCATAAAAACCTATAGGGAAAGTTAATTTATATATTTTTTTCTGTCAAATACTGGGGGATAAATAATGTCCCATCAAGCAATTGATATAGTTGGAATTTTCAATTTTCCTGACTGAAACTCCCACAAACGCACTGCGTTGGTGTACATGGACAGTGTATTGAATTGAAAAACTCGGATCATTTATTTATTGTTTATGAGATTCATCAGTCCCAGATTCAATAGCGTTTTCCACTACCAGAATGTCGTCATTTATTTTCACTATCATCTCAACATGCGCATAACTGTTTTCCACTATATTCAAATGCTCCCCTTCGTTCCATTGAGGGCTTTCCTCTCGCCAGGAAAAAAATCCTGCCTCTCTCTTGCAGCATCTGGTTCAATCTGCAATGTGATTGTGCGGTTGTAAGCGGTTTGCGCAATGTTTTCAAAGAAATATTGGAGTCTCTCTCGGCTCTTCCCGCAAAAGCGCATCAGCGGCTATCCATGCAACCGCTGCACTCCATAAAATTATTAAATTTAGCCACTATTTTTAGACCCTCCTCAGTCTGTCCACAACTGAGCCATTGAGAGAAATTCACAACCAGTGCAAATTTATGCACTTTCTCAGCTTTTCCCCGCCATTCAGTGACTCTGCAGAAATGCACACCGACCTCAACAATCTAAGAATTCAATTATAACTTTGGATGGTGACGGTGATTTATCAGCTCACTCCTCCTGACTTTTTCCTCCTCTTTCATGTTCCTCCATGAGTCGAAGACATCGCTCTGTAACAGTCTCATTTCTGGATTCAGCCGAAGAAACTTCTTTATGACTAATCGTAAATTCACTCTTTCAATCACTGCTGTTAAAACTCATTTCACGTTTATATTTTATGTACACGTCATGTTTTTAATTACATGTAAATAAGATGCATAGTAATTAACAATTAAGCATGTGATGGAAATATGTGGTATAAATTTTTATTTGATCAAAGATTTCAAGATTATCAAGGAAACTCAGTTATGGAAGGAAATTCAAAAGTGTTAATTTCAATATTACTCGTGTGAAATACAGCTTGTAATAATTGGAAAAGGAAAATATTATTTAATTACGTGGCGAACTAATTAGAAAGATTCCGTGTAATTTAACCACCACTGCTTTCAATCATTCCTCAGGCGAGCCAGTTCGCACCGCCTCCGAGTGCGCGCCTGGAATCATTTGGTCTAATTGAAATATAAAAATAATTTAAAAATAAACCAAAATTAGCTCAGCAAGTGTTTTTGTTTAGCTTTTTTCCACCAAATTCTCACTCCTTCACACATAGTGAAACTTCCATTGCCGCCCCTTCGCGAAGCCAGAGTTTCACATCTTGGCGCTCACCCACATTTCAACACTCCGTGTATATCTTTTATTTTCCACAATAAAAGAGATTTTTCCGTATTTCTCAATTGAACCCCGGCACAGCCACATGAGAACTTGCGCGACTGTGTGCTGATGGCACTCTCGCAGGCTTCCTCATACACCTGTCTCGCTATAGGAGAGGAAATATTGAAATTTGCAGTTGGAGCCAAAAATAGCCGCCACGATTGTTTGTAATAAAGTTCCCCAGAGATGAAGATAGGGAAATAAATTGCACCCAACATTCGACACTTTTTACCCACAACTCCCGGAGAATGCAGAAAAATGCAAACACAACTTATGAATATATCACACACATTACGTACAATTTCACAAAATGAATGCCTCCAACACGTGTTTGAGCAACCTAATTTATTTATCACACCAAAAAGCATGATCAATTGAGCAATCTGAGAAACCTTCTCCAACTCGCCTTCGTACAATTATTTCCTGCAGAAAATTTCTCTGTGGGATTTTTGAAATATCTCACGGTTTTTATTATATCTATTTTCAACCAGAAATTTGTTTAGTGTAAAGAATACCACATTTCATGTGATCCCTCAGTGAGGCGAAGAGTTCTCAGCAAATCCTTCATTCTTGGATTATGTTTCGGGCTCAGTAATAAATGTTCTTGTATAATTTATCAAAAAGACGACAGGAAGACTTCATCAAAATTATATTTTCACGCGCAACGTCCAACGCTATTTTGTCTTAATTGAATTTATTCAAAAGAAAAATATCTACAATTTCAGTGGTTTCTCGGATGAAAGCACGTTTGGTTTCCATCAACATTTGTCAAGGGAAACTGATAGGCTATTTAACGGAGATCTACAAAAACAGCCTTGTCGTCTATATTTCACGAGTCTCATTAAATCACTCAAAATGAATAAGAAAACATTTTATAAGAAAATATTAGCTTTCAGCGAAGATGATATAAATTTTCCGTGAGAAAATACATATTAATACAATGTTGTGTTGACACAATAGAGATGCTATGCAGATTTCAGATGATAAATCGCGTTTTACTTTCCATTTCCAAAGTTCAAAAAAAAATTCCTAACACATATTTCTCCTCTGTTTATATCATTTTCGCCACAACAGATGATTCAATTGCTTATGAAACTAAATATGCACATTATCTCAGCCATAAATTCAATGTAGTACTTATTCCTCTGCGCCCAGGAGCTGTAAATGGGGGAAATGTTGATATTTCTAGTGTGGTGGAAAATCCTCCAAAGCCACCGTGCATGATCTATGGGTGAAAAAGAAGTACAAAAGAAATAACTTTTGTATATACTTGAAAGCGTGTAAAATCTCCATAAAATTTAAATAATTATCCACAAAACTGGATTAATAATTCACATTATGAACATAAAATTATTAACAATTGTTGGTAATTGTTATGTGTTAAGCCAAGGTTGAGTGGGAAAAAAAACACATACAGTGCCGAATTACTTAAAAATTTCGTTATGTGTGCAAAGTAGAGAGCGAGACAGCCTATAAGGCGCTTTCACCGCAATTTCTGTGGGCGGCAAATATGACAGACAACAAATAGAGCTTTTTGTAAACTTTTCGGGCAAAGTCTCGGAGGAAATCAGCAAAAGTGCTCCTCCGTGAAGACAATCAGATGAGGTCAATGAATTTTCACTCCGCCACCACCATTGATTCTTGTGTTTTCTCGAAAAGTGGAGAAAATTTACGAGCGTTTGAATTTTCCGCATATATACACACATGCACATATGTATTTTTCTGCGGTCAAAATGGAAAACAAATTAGTGAATAAATTAGTAGACATTCCCATATCGCGCAATTTATTTACAAACACGACACTGAGTGTGGAAATGTGCTTTATGTTTTTCAGGCTATCCTGTTTTACACACCACGATGGCTATGGAAATCGTGGGAGGGTGGCAAGATACACGCTCTAATGATGGACCTAGATATTGGGATCTGCTCAGAAATTGAGAAGAAGCAGAAGAAGAAGCTCCTAATCGACTACCTGTGGGACAACTTGCGTTATCACAACTGGTGGGCGTATCGATACTTCCTCTGCGAACTGTTAGCTCTAATTAATGTCATAGGTGAGACTATCAAGATGCCAATTTCTTCGGCCCCAGTTTCGGTGCACTAAATTTTTTTTACTATATTTTCTAACGCCGTAAATTTTCTATCTGCCGTCAGCGATAAATAAGCATTTTTGGCCTTTTCTTAAGTCTATTACGCAAAATTGTTTAAATTGTGATCAGAGTTGAGAACAGAGAAGAGATGAAGCTATAGTATAGAGAAGATGCTGATGAAAAAGAATATACTCTAATCTCTCTTCTCAAGTGTAGAAAATCGACAACTCTGATTCAATAACATCTCTTTTGCTCTCACCACAGGACAAATGTTTCTAATGAACAAATTCTTCGATGGAGAATTCCTGAAATTCGGCTTAGAGGTGATCGCTCACATGCAAGAGGATCAGGAGGATCGCGTTGATCCGATGATCTACATTTTCCCCCGAATGACCAAATGTACATTTTACAAGTACGGCAGTGGCGGTGAGGTGAGCAATAAATTCGCCAACACTCTTGCACATTCAAGGAACAATTAAAATACTTTCTACCCACTTTCTGTACTCATTCACTCTGCACTAACGACCCTGACTCACTTCTTAATTTTCCCTCATACTTTCATATGCAATTGTGTGTCTGATATTTTCGTCTTTATGCACTATAGAATATTGCAGTTATAAATATTTCAATGTGTTTATTTATCTCTCTCTCTCTGAAAGGTGGAAAAACACGATGCAATTTGCATATTGCCCTTGAATGTGGTCAATGAGAAAATATACATTTTTCTCTGGTTCTGGTTCATCATTCTCACTATTCTCACCACCCTCACGGTAATGTACCGCGTGGTGATTATCTTCTCACCCCGAATGCGTGTTTATTTGCTACGACTACGGTTTAGGTAAATGGAGAGTGAATGTGCGACTAGAATGCCTCTTAACGTTCGCTTTCTCTCACGTGATTTCAGGTTAGTTCGTCGGGATGCCATTGAAACAATTGTGAGACGCTCGAAGATGGGCGATTGGTTCCTTCTGTACATGCTGGGCGAAAATATAGACACTCTGATATTTCGCGACATCATGCAGGACCTCTCCACGCGACTCGGTCACAACCAACACCATCGAGTGCCCGGCATTAAGGGTGAGATCCAGGATGCGTGATACTGGGAGTAGCCGTCGCCGTTGCGACGCGCACCTTCAGCATTCTTCCATTGCGCGCTGTGTGTATAGGCACCACATTCGATTTCTTATATATCTACCTATTGTATTTACCGAACTACTATATACATAATCCGAAATCCCTAAGACATGAGGAGAGCGAGGAATCAGCCCGAGGACGGGAAGAATTGACGATCATCTTCTCACCTTTGGTGATACATGAAATCCCCTTATTTGTACAGTGTTCAGGAGAGAGGAGCCGCGCAGTCACCGCCGTCCAGAAGAGCTCGTCACACTCTGAATTGACATTCGAAATCTAAACGGATAAATAGATGAAATACCAAACTAACAACCTATAGGCAGCATCTTGAGAAATGCAATTGATTGACTCGTGGATTTTCCTTCTTTCTTCAACATCACACAATTCAACTGCCGCCATTGGAACGGAAAAACAATCATTTTCCCATAAAAAAAAACTTGAAATATTACCATGAATGTTTCATTTAAACCAATTAACTGCCATGAAATTCCAAGGTGTTCATTTGCTAGGTAAGGCAAAAACATTAACGGTTTTCCATCGCATCCTTTTACAGAAGACAAAACGATAAAAAAAACCACTCATTTGACTAACTTCTTGTGTATTTTATTTTGGGAAATAATATAACAAGAGGTTTCATGTAAATACGCGAGTATAGAAGATTTTCCCCATATATAAAATTTATCGAAAATCATCTCGTCTAGGATTATCAACTCTGATAAAGTCTACCAGAAAACATTAGAAATTGTTCTTCCAGGAACCCTAATTTCTCAATAATCAAGCCAGTGTCCAATAAAATATACATTATTTACCTACATTTTAATCCACTTCTAGGAAAAAAATTGTAGAAAAATATAACATGTAAGGAAAAAATATTTAGGGATCACTTAGAAGTCAGAGAATAGCTCTAGAAGTGAAAGTGTTCTTTAGACAAGAAAAAAACATAATAACTCACGATTTGTGAGGATAATAAAATGTAGATATTTTCAGTAGGATAAAAAAAGAATTATTAGAGCCAATCAGCTGCATTTCTCAAATAACCCAACACTAACAAAAAAAAACAATGTACTTAAAGCAGATATAAATTCATTATGTTTACATAAATCACTGAAGAACCTCACAAAACACTTGTTATAGTTAAAAATTTATTGACTTAATTTAAGAGGGAGGAAAAATAGATAATGAAAATTACCAAAGTGCAACAACTGCCATTCAAGATATTCATTAAAAAAAAATACCTTATATAAATTATACATAAAGAAATATTTAAATTGTATTGTAATCTAATATCAAAAAGTGAAAGAAAAAAAAATTGAAAAGCATTAATACTTAAGTAATGACGAATCGTAGATATTATTAATTCTTAGGTAAATCAATGAAAATTATTTTTACTCTGATCTCTATTAGTTTTTTAGTATTAAAACTTGTATTGTTAATCAATTTATGCAATTAATTGTGTTTAACTATACTTCGTACGAGGAGAAAAGATCAATTCACACATTTTGTCGTCTCGATCATTTTAACCCTATGGTGACACTCATGATTGCGCAACTGTTTATCTAAACAGATAATCATTGGGACAATTGTGGGAATCTCTGTATAATCATTCTTAGATAAACAATGGACAAAACAATTCGATAGAGAGCTGATGAAATAAAATAGAATTGCATGAAAGCAGGTGAGAAGACGTTAAGAAATTGCGGTGAAAATGTTCGTATCGTAGCGCAGAGAGATTTTTCCTTTCTTTTTCTTATAATAAAATAAGAACAATTTTTTGAAAAGAAGAACAAAACAAGAACGATATTTACCCAGAAAAAAAAATGAGAAGAAAATGAATTATCATTGCAATGTTATTCTTCTTTCACCAAAAGTGCTACTTAACAAATTGACATAAAAAAAAGAGAGGATAAAATGATGACTCCACAAAAAATATGGCTAATGAAAGTAATTAAATATAGTTAATTGCACATAATTCGACATTTATAATCAAAGAAGCAATACGATTTGCAATGAAATCACCTACAATATATTAGTTAATTTATTGTTTTATAGGACGAAAAGTAAAAAAAAAATATGAGATGAAAAATACGATAATAAAAAAGTGAATACTATTCTAACTAAAAAAAATACTTAGGGCAAGTGAATATAAAGGAAATCAATGCTCGATCGCATCCTAAAGACAAAAGAAAAACAAGAAAACGAGATAATTATTATATAGAAAAAATGATTTTTTAACATTATCAAATAGCATAGTTACCACGTAAAGGAATCAAATAATTTTTATATCCCTAAGTAAAATGCACTCACATGAGATTAAACAATCCCTAAATCCAACCAAGAAAATTATGGAACAAGATTATAGAGCGTAATCAAGGAATTGTTGAGAGGAAATTATATAGTACATAATTTTAAGTTCTGTAAAAAAAAGGAATCTTCCCATCCTCTATACTCCTTATTAATTAGCATATAGTGAGAGAGAGAGAAAAAAATGGAGAAGAACTTGAGAAAAAATTATCAAAGATTAAGACAAGAAAACCCAACCACTCAAAACACTACACAATTTCTTATCTTTATTATCTCGCCACATTTATAAAAGACGTCCTTCGATGATGAAAGAAGAAAAAAAAAAGATGAAAAGTAATTATTAAAAATTAATCATAAAGGAATGAATTACCAATTATTATTATAGGAAAACAACAAAATAGGTAATAAAATTTTTAAATGACGATGCGCAACTTGATTCGAGTCACACATTTCAGCAATAAATAAAATGAGAAAAGAATGAAGGAGAGAAATAAATATTCAAAATCATGCCTTTTGTAACATCTCCTTGTGTCTGTGCTTTTCTTCTCTGTCCTCCAATTATAATTCGATAATTATCGACTAGTCGGCAATTTACCCTTTAGATTCGCGCATTCACGGTGAGTATGGAATTGCGGAAAATGCGCGCGACAAGAGATTCCGTAAAAACCACCGTTTCTCTATGATTTAGGAAAATTGCCCCCGAATTTCTGCAGAAATTTGCCTTTCAATGTGGAGCATTTCTTTTAAGATAAATTTTTGCAGCATCCACTGAGATAACTTGCAGATTCGAGATAAAGCTTCGAGGAATAAGAAGAATTCTGTGATATCAGAGCGATCGCTCAGGAATTGAGAGGGTGTTTGTACGTTAAAAAAAATCCACTTGAATTTCAATTTCCCGCCAAAAGTGCCAACTGAAATCTCAGGGATTTCACTCGACCCTCCGCATGCGCACATCTCAGCCCAGTAGTTCCGGAAAAGTCTGTCTTGAGGCTCTGCTGATCATCTTCACCCCTCCCGGCTGAAGAAAAGTGACATTTACACTCGACGACTCCCAAAAATCCTAAGTAATCAAACACTCAGTGAGAAATCGGGCGGAGTTTTTCCGTGACGAGCTAATCATGTCTCCACAGAGGATTGTTGGTCATCTCACGGTATCTCAGTGTGGACCTTGAGGACAGTTTGTGTGGTAGATTTTGCTTATAGAGTCGCCAAAGATGCCTGAACACTTGGAGTTGCAGCAACTTGTCGACGGAGGCTCTCTGAGACACTCTCGGAGGCGTCTCATGTCCATCTTCCGGTGCTCCTGTCCATACCTGGGCATTCTCCTCGCCACGCTGTCTTCTCTCTTCTTCTCTCTCTGTTCGGTGATTGTGAAGGGACTGGTGGAGATAAATCCCATGGAACTGGCGTCATTTCGGTGAGAGACAGTTATATTCCCAGCCAGCCACGCGGAGAGTAACTTCACATCTTTTCTCCACAGTTTCGTCGGAGTTCTCCTGCCCACCATTCCCATACTGATCCAGCGACAGACGCCCATCTTTCCCGAGGGGAAGCGAATAATTCTCCTCTGTCGGTGCTTCGTCGGCACCACAGGACTCATGCTCAGCTTCTACGCATTCCGCCACATGCCGCTCGCCGACGCATCTGTGATCATCTTCTCCACGCCCGTCTTCGTGGCCATCTTCGCCCGGCTCTTCCTCAAGGAGCCCTGTGGCCCCTTCAACATCATCACCGTGCTACTCACCCTCATCGGCGTTGTCCTCATCACGCGTCCGCCCGCCATCTTCGGCGACACGGTGCCCAGCCTCACGGACGACTCCCTCCCGGACGCCAGCTACGACCTGTGGGGGCCCGTGGCCGCCCTCTCGTCCACGCTCTTCGGTGCTAACGCCTACGTCCTCTTGCGCGCCCTCAAGGGGCTCCACTTCTCCGTGATCATGACCAATTTCGGCGCCTTCGGACTCGCCTACACCGCCATCGTCTCGTGGACGATCGGCTCGCTGTGCCTCCCGCCGTGCGGCACTGATCGCCTTCTCGTGGTCGCGCTGGCCCTCTTCAGCTTCCTGGGCCAGATTCTGCTCACACTCTCGCTGCAGATGGAGCAGGCGGGCCCCGTGGCCATCGCCCGGAGCGCCGACATCGTGTTCGCCTTCTTCTGGCAGGTGATCTTCTTCCACGAGGTGCCCAACGTCTATTCCCTCCTCGGCGCCCTCCTTGTCATCAGCTGCGTCCTTCTCACGGGCCTCCGCAAGTGGGTTCTCGCCCTCCCACGCGACTCCGCCAAGCGCCAGCGCTTCAAGTGGCTCGCCACAGAGTAACTCGCGTGTCCACTCTACTGCAAGAAGGTCAGAAGAGAGCGCGCGAAAAGATTAGAGATATTTTTTAACATGGAACAAGCAAAACTCATCCGCCAAAATAGGTAGAAATAAATTTTACTAAAACGCCACGCACTTTGTCTCTCAAATACTATATATTCTCTCATCAAGATCTGATTCCTTTTCGGTGATAGATTGTTTCTCAAAAGATTGGTTCTCTCCGAATCTCGCATCTGGACAACACAGATATGGAGTATACATGGTACAACCAGATAATTTGGCAAATTTGTTTACACAGGGGCGCTGAGGAATATTGCATGCAGACGCAATCTCTCATTTGCTCCCCCCTTTCAGAAGGGGCGCGATTGCGATGAGAAGCCCAGGCCGACACCGCGCATTGTGTGCGTCACCTGTCTCGCCACCTCATACTGCTGCTCCATTGAGGAGAACAGCTCCTCCTGCTTCTTCACCAGATCCACGCCAGAGCCCGAACCACCGCCGCCGCCGCCACCGCCCGCTTTCGGCGGATCCTTAATACCCATCAATCTCATGAACTTCGACGCCACCTTCCCATCCTGATCCTGAGAAAACTTCGCCGTCTCCCACTTGGCCGCCGCCTGTTCCACATTGTCCGCCTTCTTGTGACTCCACAGTAGCTTCCGCTTCTGCATCTGCTCGGCATAGCGCGACGGATTCACCACACCAGGATTGTAGTAGCTGGGCAATTCAATTGCCGCCGTCTCTGACTTCTTAAAATCGATGCCCATCTTCTCCAGCTGCTGCACTCGCTGCTGCGTCCGCCAGTCGTACCTCTCCGGCTTCGCCTGTTCGCTGTTCATCGGCAGAGACACTGTGGGAATGAGTGTCGGCGAGGAGGGTTTAGGCGCGGCCACAGGCGGAGGATTCACCGGCGCCACAGGGGCCGCCACAGCCGCCACCACCACTGTCGCTGACGACACTACAGACGCCGACGGACTGCTCTTCATCTCTGGCGACTTGCGTGATCGTCCGTGCGAACGAGAGTGACTTCTCGAGCGACGCCGCTCACGACGACTCTCCCTCGAGCTGGATCTCCGCCGGCGTTCACGAGACGATGACCGACGACGGTGCTTTTCGCGCTCACGCTCACGTCGAGAGTCTTTCTTTTTGCGCTCACTGTGAAAAAGACCATTGTATTAAGAAGGAATCCTAAGAAATCTTCATTCACAACACTTTCTCACCTGTGCCTGTCTCTGTGCCTCGGACGATCACGATCTCTGTCCCTGTCGCGCTCTCTGTCTCTCTCCTTCTCCCTATGATCTCTGGACGAGTGGCGATGCTCCTTTGATGATTTGTACCGTGAAGTTTCACGCTAAGCAGAACCACCGAGAGAAACATTAGAAAAACAAACAAATTGCATTCACACACTTTGAGCAAATCTCCTCAGCGTTTCTCAAGCAAAAGATATGGTAAAGTGAAAAAAATAAAACCTCATTCTCTGCACTGTGACTTCGACGACGTTCAGCATGTGAGCGACTCTTAGGCTTTGGACTCGCAGCATCTTTGCCATCCTTCGATGACGCATCATCGGAGTCCTGTAAAGGGAGAGAATACCACAAAAAGAGGGGAAAGACATTTTCACGTTAGTCACTATCACTTTCATAGTATCCAAGTTGAGGTGGTTTAACAAATATACGTTGTTAAAGAAATGTATATAATTTAGAACAAAAATTAGCATTTCGCGTTTACAGCCAAAAAGTGCAGATTTTTTCTCTCTCATTATCAAGTTCAATGGAATATAATTATAGAGTAAATAGAAATTGTTAGTTGCACAAAAATACTGTCTCGACAAATTTTTACACTAGAACAGAAAAAAACAAGAATATGATGATAAACCAAATGGAATCAAATGATAGTCAAAATTACCATTTCTTCTGACTTCATCACCAAGAATATTATCAACGAAAAGCGTGTGAACTTTCTCAACAAAACTCTCCATTTAAAACTGAATTTTAAAGTAAAGAAAACTGGGAAAAATTATCCCCTCAATAATTGAGGCGAAAATTTTCCTTTCATTGAACGAACATTAAGGTTTCACCCTTGACACATTTCGGAGAAAAGATTCACACTACAAATTCCATTTTTCTCTCTTTTTTGGACTTGAGAAAGGCTTTTTTAATGCGCTCTTGCGATGATTTGGCAGAGTGAATTGATTTTCCGTCTCTCGAGTGTTTTTTTTCTTTCTCTCTACCCATCAAACATGTATTTGTAATTTTATTGATTTGAACAGCATTATTAAATTGCCTGCAGAGCGTCAAGAGTGGCGCGGCTTTTGCGTTCACACCAAAACAGAACACTTTCAGGTGGATATATTATCGATTTTGTTGTGTATTTGACACGTTGCCAGAAATTGTATGACGATAAAAGCCATTTTAATTGCTATTTTCTGGTCTCTCACCTCACTTTACCAATTTAACTTCTAGCGCAAAGGTATAATTATGTCACAGAAAGTACATTTTCCCCAGCACACCGTCAATTAATGCCCCAAAAACTCTTGAGCATGTTTCCATGAGGGAGAGAAAGACACTTTCGCGACAGTTCAAGTCAACTTTGCCAATTAGTGAGTGAAAACAGGAAAATCTGCTTGTTTTCTCAATGCACATTCGTCACAATTTACATTTTTTCTTCTGTTAACATTTCGATACAAAAGAGAACGGGTGAAATGGTAAAGAGTGTACCTATTTTTGGTGGAAAACATACTCACGTGGATGACCCCGTCCTTCGGTAAAACCACCGAAAGGACTTTGAGTGTGTGAGACGGGGACTAGGAGGCAGACTTGAGCTGACCAGCATTTGTGGACGGGAGGATAATCAACCAAACAAGTGGCTCAATGTGTGGCCAAGCACATTCGTCTCATTGAGACACCCTTTCAATCGTTTCAGTTCTTCAATGGTTGTGAGGAAGATTTCACATTTTTTAAACACAGTGGATTGTGTTAATATTCTTCATAAAGTTGATATTTTTGTTTTTTGCTTAACTAATAAAATGTTCGGGGGACAATTTTAGGGGGCGAATTGTCGTGAAACTTTTGAACAATTGAATGGCAAAATCCATTCGAAATAATCAAAGTGTGGGAGAAAACATAATTTGAAGATTTTTCGAGAAGTTCATCTTGAGAAAATGACTAGAACATCGTTTTTCTTCCCTCTTCATGTCAGCAATATTTACCAGTCATTGCAATTTCCACAGGCAGACATGAGTGTGATTCCTAGTCGTTTTCCCAAGATTTTTGAGGGCAGAGATGTGAGACGACAAGTGTCTCAAGAAGTCTCCAAATGGATAGAAAATATAGACCTTTTAGCAAATCTCTGATATTAAATTGATCTCTAGCATTTACCTCACTCATGTCCATCTGGACACTTTCATAATTTGTGTCATCCTTGCGCGCCTTCTTGACCTCACTCTGACTCCCTGACCCTGGCCAGGCATCCTCGGATCTGCGAGCATCTCGTCCGTCGCGGTTCTTTGATGATTCATCCTAAAGGAATGGGCGACTATTCAGGAAATGTAAACAGCAAATCTTGTTATTATCTTAACTCAATCTGAAGTAGATTATTGGAATGGCATTTCAATTTGAGGGCTTTTATCGGACATTCTCATCGACTTTGTGCCTCCCCATTTCCGGAAGTCCGGGAATCATGCGACGGAGACAAAAGAAGCTCTTTCTTGACAAAACAACTTCAGTTCTCCCACATTTCCACAGTTTCTCGCAATGGGCACCCAAAAATAGCCACACACAGAGACTCATTTCATCGAGAGACACAATTTCTCTCCATGAAATGAGGCTAAATTTAGCTAAATGGCAAAAATCGATAAACACCATCGAGAAGAAGTGAATTTTACGCGTCAATTTTCACGGCGAAATCACGTGGTGAGCTCGAAAACACCACCACAAGTCGCTCACGCACAATTTAGATAATCAACTTATAGTAGAGAAATGCAACTATTTACCCTCTTTCTTGTGTTATTCTCCATTTCTGCCTCGTCTTCGCTACTGTAGTTCACTAGCGACTCCATGATGATTTTCACACACTGACAACCCGACTGTCAGCTCATCAGAAGGCCACCCTCGCGTATGGCTTTTCGTCAGGGGTTCCCGGGCTTTATCGGTCGTGAAATCACCAATTTGTGGCTGTACAGCTGGGAAGCTAGGAGCGAAAATCACTACTTCAATTGGGTTTCAATTATTTCTAGAGATCTCTTTGTACAAATTGAAATGGTTTCCAATAATACCGGTATTTTTCCATTTCGTTTTGGTATGAAATTCACAACCGGGTCAAAGTGTTATACCGCGATGGCAGCTCCTCTGGTGGTGGATAGATCGACTTAAGACAATTTCTCAAGGATAATTCTCATGAAAATATTAATTAAATGAGTATTTTCTCATCGCTCTTGCGTACTTTATTCCACACACTTTTATTAAACATATTTCAATGACTAGGAATAGGAAAATTAATTATTTCTTTTGGGTGATTCTGTTGGTATAACAGTTCAAATGCTTGTTTCTTGCCAACTTCATTCCTTCCTCAATGTTTACATTTCTTGGTGAGCTCCAGAAAATACAGCAAGAAAAACCACGAATTTCCCGGATAATAAAGTAAATCATGGTGAGTTTGCTCCTAGAATTTATTCACATGCATATTTATTTGAGAGACGCTTCAACTCTACACCTAATCATGGAGAACTGACATGGAGAGGATGATTTAATACAAGTCGTTGTAGAGCAGATCCATGGGTGAGGCTCTCTTGCCGCCCCAGGAGTGAAAGGGTGTTCTTGTGATGATCCTGTAGCCACTGTCGAGATTCGGGAGGTGCCTTTTGCCGCCCCAAGAGTGGAACTTGATCTTCTTGCCCACAACCTTTTCGTCACTGCGCTTGTCGCTGACCAGCGGCGCGTCACTCTCGCAACTCCTCCGGAGATTCCGCTCGATGCCCTCCGCGGACACGGGGTCCAGGACGTAGGCTGTGAAGTCCAGGTAGATCTCCAGCACGTCGAGCAGGGTCTTCTTGGGGTCTGGCGTTGGGTTTCCGGGGTGATTCTCCGCACTGGCGGGTTGGAGTTTGTCCATGAGATGCTGTATGTCCGGGGATTGATCTGTGGCGAGGAGCAGAGCGTGGTTGCTGGGCGACGGCGGGGAGAGATGGTGCGGGAACTCACCTAGATAGCGTGGCGTGGAGTAGTCGTCGAAGATGCGCAACAAATCACACGATCCGGGCAACTTCCCAAACAGATGTATGATGAAGCGACGATATTGATTGATTCTCTCCTCGAGACTCTGAATTCTCTGGATATTGCTGTACGTCCAGGGAGAGATGCCCACACCCACGTCCCCGTGGTACTCCGCATTGACACATAATCCACAGAGGATGGTGAGGAGAGCCAGAGGAAGCACACTCATGGCCATCGCGCAAGATTTTCACAGACACTCTCAAGATGATTTGCCTCCACTTGGGAATACTTCACTGTCTGAGCATCACCGAGAAGAGCACTTTGTCCTGCGACGGGATTCCGAGTCACACTGAAGGCGCAACAGGGAGACGTGTGCCTTTTATAACTCCATCGCAGATCATTCCAATCAGAAGTCACTCGAGCGCACATCTCGGCAGCGGAACTCGAGAGAGGACGAGAGAGAGCGGGACACTTGGGCGAAAGCTTTTAATGATCTCATTTCCTTCTAAGTTATTAATTTCAAATATTTTGTCAAAGATAGCCCCGCTCATTTAACATCTATAGCCAAGTGCTGCTGCCTCTGCATTTCAATGGGCAAGGATGATGGGGAAAAAGTCCCCGGAGGCGAGCTTTGCATTGGGATTAAAAGTGTCCACAAATTGATTTGAGCAGCTGATAGAGACGTTGACTTCTCCGCATCGGGAATCACGTGCTCTCATTGAGGAAGTTTACTCACGGGTCTCCCAAGAAGACTTCCATCCGCGATTCTGCCATGTGTACATATAATGTATAATTTATTTGGCGGCATCTCTAATTTCCTCTCGATACATTTAGCTAATGGGATTGCCATGAAGTGTGTCTCACTTACCGATGATGTATAAGTACAAGTGTTGATTGGTGAACATTGGAAGGGGGTTGAAATGAAACCGAGTGAGCAAATATTAACTTTTGCAACTAATTTCCAAATTTTACGCACGAATTCACACGTACAACACCACCTACTCTCACACCCCATCAATTTTAAATATCTTGGCATTCACTGACGACAGAGGACTCGTGGGTGGCGGTTAGTCGCCGGGGGATAAAGGGTTCTTCTTGGTCAAAAATTCTCTACTTAACCAGGTGGAAAAAAAATCCGGTCACAATACAGCCTCGAGGTATCAAGTCAAGATGGGTGAAATGGGAAAAGTTTCTCTGGCTCTTCAGCACGCCATGAAAGCGCTAAGGGGTGTTGAGAAAAGGCGGGATGGTAATTAAAATACGGGATACCCTCTTAATTTTCCGCTTTTCCTCCTTTTCCAATGCAGAAATTTCGCTTCTGCGGCGATGGTGATTGTCCTGACTGGATCCTGGCGGAGATCCACTCGACGCTGTCCGTGCTGAGCTCAGTGAAGCTCCGCGTGTTGGCGCAGATGGTGGCTAAAAGCACCCTCGGCGAAGAGATTCCGGTGAGAGAGTTTGCTACATGCACAGAATCAGAATATCAACGATTTTGCATGTTGTGTTGCAGGAGGAGAAGCTCCTGGACACGATGAGTGCCAATAAGCTGGACCTGAAGGCGGCCAGATCAGCATTTGCGTGTCTCAGGTACATCCTGACCAGTGCTGTGCGCCACAACACTCCGCCAGCGGTGTTCGAGGCGGAACTGCAGCAACTGGGCCTCCCGAAGGAGCACTCAGCCGGCATTTGCAGAACTCTGGGCGAGTTCTCTGACAGACTGCAGGACTTCCTCAGCGGTCAGACGCTCAGTGTCAATGAACTGGAGGATGTTAGCTGTGCACCCTCAGAGACACATCCAGATTGTGTGAACCTGAGTCTGGGCGTCAGAAATGAAATAGTAAATGGATTGCCGCAGAAGACGGAGCACTGCGTGACCATTCACGGTGGCCAGCTGCCGATATTGATAAAGGAGCTGAAGACTGCGCGGGATGTTGTGGAGAGGCTGTCCTAAGGGATGTGGCAAGTAAGTGTGAATATGGATGAATGTGGGGGGAGCGGCAAAATCTCTTGTCTAACTTTCTGTCTGTGTCTCATCCATAAAACATTGAAAAATCGTGTTATCGATCAATTTTTTCGCCATTTTCATGATTTTATTAAGTGGATACGTTTCCATAAATATGTACCATCATCTTGCCGGAGAGGCACACGGTGCATACAAGCTACCCATATAAAGAGGAGAGGAACATATGTCGACATCATATATTTGATGATAAGGGCCAACAGGGTGATGCCACACATTTTTCCCTCGATAATTCCATGCAAATAATCGTTTTTTGTGTGTTTTCCTGTTATCTCTCGACTGGAATTTTTACAGTGAATTTTTGCGGGACGCTCAAAAGACGGAATAGTGAAAAAGTTTAATTACACGTGGGAGATTTAGGAGATTTATTGGGGATATTTATCATTAGTTTCGGGGAGAGTTGAGGGAACAAACTGTGTAGTGAATTAAATTCATGTAGCACGTGCTGTTTTGGGGATGTTGGGTCTTGTGAATAGTAAAATACGACCAAGTAATGAGTAAATGATGACTTTTAACACTGTTAATGTTCAATATTATCAGGTGTACGTTTGTGATTTAGAGATTGTTCGAGGCAAAGATGCACGATGAATTTTCATAGAATATATAAGATTGAATTATTGATTAGAAAATTGTTCCCGTGTTCCCCCATTTTTCTTCTGGTTGCTGTTCAATGTGGGCACACGATGAAGGGGGAGAAAAAACATAAGCTTAGCTGCAATATTAATTCTCTTTTGATAGTCCGAAATGTTTGCACTTATGTAAATGTCGTGCTTACACCATAAAACGCCCACAGATGGTCGCGTGTCTCAATTGTGAGGCCACGTGTCTGGAGAATAGGAATGAATGAGAGTGCGAAATCTAAGGCCATGTAAATACAAATCTCAGTACACAAATCCTTTCCCATCCAGGCAAAGTGCAGTGAGAAGGATTGTTTGTTGTAAATAAAATGATTACACGCATAATTTGATTACATTTTCCAACTGGAGATCAAGTGTTTCAAAATAAATGGCTCTCGACTCGGGCATAAAGAGTGGGTTTCTGCTGAAAGGGAAGGGGAATGTTTTTCGTGGATTCGAGGGTATTATTTGAATTGTCTCGTTCGCAAAGAGAGAGAGAGAGAGAGAGAAAGTCTGTGAGAGACTTTTTTGCGATATAGAGATATTTATAAATAATGCACAATTTCCAGTCCATTGACACTGCGTGGCATTTTTCAATAATCCTGATGTGTATTCATGCTGAACATTTTACATATAGAGAACTGAAAAATTATTGAAAGAATTGTAAATCAAATGAAGTGGAAGTATTGGATTTCTGATTTCTTGCAATGTCTCACTCCAATTCGCGTTAAGTGCTCTGTTTCAGCTTTTTCTGCCTCTCATCCTGGGCAAAATATACAGACATTGAAAAATGTGTAAAAAGAGAGAGAGTAGAGAAATTTACATTTATTGATCTCTTGTTCTCGTGGAAAAAATTGTTGCTCTTGAAATTAAACAGAAAAACGCTGTCTGAGAATCAATTCTTGCGATTATGGTGGAAAAACAGTGCTTAAACAATCACACATTGAATTAAAATGGAAAATTCAGTGGGTAGAAAATGTAGAAATGTTCATTTGACATCATTTTTTTTGTGGCTGAACAGAGAGATTTTGCAATTTGCAATTATGGCAAATTTCCACAATATCCATTAGCATATTTCGGGGCAAAGTCAAAGATCTCAGTTGAAATGCAATTTCCACTCCTTAGTCGTTTTCAAATTAGAGGAAGAGGACAAAAACACGATATAGATTCTCTCATGGTGGCGAAATGGCAAAACCGCAGAGGAACTATAATAACAAAGTGGCAAAATACAGAGGTTCGTATTCTTAATGCTATTATGTAGAATGGCTTAATTAGATAATGGAACTAAGTGAATTTCTCCACTATTGGAAAAGCCAGTTGAGAGAAAAGTGTGTCGATGATCGCTGAGGATGCGGAGGAGAGAGAAGTTTGCTCCATTCTCTCTAAATAATTTATAGATTGGTGAAAATATAAAAGTTAAGTGAATAGTGAAAAATGATCTTGTGTAAGAGCGTCGCAAAGTTGCATTGCGAGGACAAGTTTGTGCGCCAAAGTGTAGTCTGCAGAAAGCATCCACTCAAGTGTGTTTTGGGGGTGACTTTCCATTTGGAAAGCAATATGCAGAGTTGATGTTTTGTTCATCTCTGAGGAACTCTGAAAATTAAATTAGAAAACCACTTTTGAGATTTATTCATTCGAGATGCAGTAACAACCTAATAGAAAACTTTACCATAATCTAAATTTATTCGGAAAATTTTGCACAAAATGCGGTTAAGAGCGTCATTCCTTTTTGGCTCAATTCCTCGTCTCTGCGCTACACATCCTTGGGATTTTGTTGAGTGGGTGGTTTCTGGGGAGCGAAATGGGCTGAAAGTGTGGCAATGTCTCTTGAGGGTAAAATGGCAGAAGAGAGAGAGGACACAAAGGGAGAGAATATGCCGAAGAATGGTATTATAATTTAGTTGGAAGTTTATGCAATACTTGTTTCGCACTCAAATCCCAAATCCATTGCAAACATTCTGTCCGTATTTCCCATTTGCAGTTATGAATTAATGGGACATTTTCACCCATTGGCTAAATTGATATTAATGTCTAATTTCACTAAAATCCCCAATGTTTTCCAGGGACGGAGTGTGATTATGTGCAGAATCCTGACAATGCAGAGAAACGACTCGTGTAAGTTCAGCAGAACTGACTTCACAACATTCGCGCTATCAAATTAAATTGCTTTGTTCTCAAGTATTAGAAATATAGTGAATTCTTTTGACATATTTTACATCACATTTATCCATCAGGTTTCGACCCTGGCGAGGGCCAGAGTATAAAATCCAATAACTCCGATATTTATGTGCATCAACTAATTTTGTGGTGTCAAAATGTGCGCAACACACTCCCTCTTTGACTCCAATAACAAACCTGCAGGCACCAATCGCGGTGTTGTGTAAGTGGAAAATGATTACCGAGGAAAACAGCAAATAATGTGTGGAAATTATTTCACCGCATCTGCGTGTACATGTTGTATCATTTGTGTATGAAATATGCATGGATTTTTCCTATGAAAGTGAAACATCACTCGCGAGCGACAGGATATTGCGGCGGGACGCGAGGAGGCGGGCATGATGGAATGTATTTAAAATCAGACGCGGAGATTGATTAGATTTTTGGCAGCATTTCACTATCCAATTGTCGATTGTGTTCGAGATGTTCAATTGACGTGGGAACAGCGCGCGCGTGGGTGTGAGGAAAAGGGACGGGAGGAAAAGTTGGAGGGCAATTTCTCATAATTTATGAGCAAGTCTCGTTGCTATATAGGATTTCTTTTGGAGGGTGGCAAAAAAATTCTCGCGACTTCAGATGATGATGATTAAGAGCTGTGTCACTTGCAAGTGTGTAACGTGCAATTTGATTTTTTCTCGCGCACGCCGTGAAAGACATTTTTATTAAAAAACGCTCATGGCAACTACATTAATGAAAGCCTCTTTCTCGCGCACTTTTTACCCGAGCAAAATTTTCTCGACCCTGTTTTTTTTCGCCCTTTCGCGACTCTTCTCAAGAGCTGAGAGCCAATTTTGTCCGAGGAAATATAAATATTGCAATTAATTTGCTAATTTGAGGGCATTTTGAAATCTCATGGAATCTAATGCAGAGCAAATTTCTGATAAATACAATTGTATAATTTTTTCTGGAAGTCGCAACAGTCTTTTAGACTCTCGATCCTCCTCTTTCTTTTGTCACGAAATGAGTTATCAGATGTGAATGATATACTGCGAATTTCCGCCATATATTTGCTGGAATATCAATTAATGTCAAATGCCAACAGAGCACATTTTATGTATTTCAGGTAATCTTTGGGGAGTAGAAATTGTACAAAAATGGCCTACAATCAATCTCTATTGAAAAATATGTGCAACTGCAGCAGAATTTGGGCCACATCCACGTGTGTGTGTTTCTCCGGAAGCGTACAATCTGAGTGAGCGAATCGATTGATATTCAGCATATGTTGATGGCACTCCACCATTTATATTGGCATTGCATATCGGGAGAAAATCACTATCGAACGTCCAAAATATATTGGGTATAGGTGATGGTTTTTGGGGTGTTTTGACGCCGCGCGATGGGCTGAAGGGTGGCGGGGCGGGAAAAAATGGCTCAGCGCTAAATCAGACATTCAAATTTAAATTTAATCGCACTTGAGCAGCACAGAAGGAGCACTGGGACACCTTCTTTTCTCGCCAGCTATGCGATATCACTCCATGGAGTGAAAAATTTCCATATCGAATCACCCCACCAATACAGCCGCCCACCGACCGAATGGATCAATCATACACCCTCGGCGGCGAGGGTGTGGGTGAGATTTCCAAATTCAAAATTCAAATGGAAAACATTTAAGAATGTCATAAAAATATGCAGCATTCCATTTTTATTGTTTAAACTTCTTCTTTAGTAAGTCTCACAATATAATACACCTTTCGATTTTCAATTCAGACGATTCGGGGCGCGGGAAAAAATTTGCCTCCATTTTTTCTGCCACCCTTGCTGGAGGGGTGGACGTTGAGCTGGTGGGTGGCGAAAATTTCTCGCAAACGACAAGGGGATGGTTGCTCAAATGGCATTCATCCACTAATATTCGAGTGTATGCCAATTGATTTCCTTTCTTTTCTCCCTCTTCTTGTCCGCCCTCGAGGCTCAGATGGGCGGGAGGGTTGGCGGGGAGCGAGATCTCGGGGAGAGCAAAAAGCGAGGAAAAGTTCATGAGTTCAATTGAAATTTCTTAATGAAATGTTCAGTGATTTACGATGTCGCCTTATTAGAATATCCTCAAATAATATCGCGGATTGAAACAGTTGTCGTACAATCAAAATATTGCTTTCTCAACTTTTTCTCCCAATCCAGCAAGAAATTGTGAAAAATCCGCCAATCAAATGAGAAAAACACCATTTCCACAGATATGACAAATCCATGGTGAGAAGCATTGAATCGCATTCAGTGAATAAAGTTTTGACCAGAGAGAAGAAAGAATGAAATTGAATGTATAAACAAAATAGTTCTATTTGAATTGAGGGGTTGGGGGAAGCACAACTATGGCACCACACCTGAGACCATTGGTGGGAAGACTGCAAAAGAATTGGGGATGTTGTGTGTGTGTGCATTGTTTGGCAGAAATCTTATTTCGGAAATTCAATAAGGCGAAAGGGTTTCTTGAGTGGCAGAATATTGTGATTTCTTCTTCATCTGTTTATGCTAAAAATCTCGAAAATTTATGTGCAATTTTGTATTCTGCCAGAATACAGAATCAATTTCCACCATGGACTTATGACCTGAAATATCCCAATTGGTGAAGGGAGAAATACACCAAAATACCTGCCAGTCTCATCATTTTGCTCTTTTTTTTCACTTCCTCATGCGAAAACGTGTGCAATAGACTTTGAAAGTTGCCTGAAATTTTGGTAATTGTTCAAAAGTTTTTATCACAGAAAATCCAGTGAAGCTTTCATTGATTTTTTTTTCTCCCTTTCTTTCCGACATCCAATGATGTTGACGAAAATGGGTGTTTATATTTGAGCAGAAGCACCTATCATCATTTCATAAAAATAACCCCTCAATGTCCAGTGAATTTTTCAAGTCCCTCCCTCACTTTCGAGGTGTGCCGCAGACCACGTAAAGAACAAAAGGCACGTCTGGAATATATCTGGGGCTTGTCATTTCATATACAGCAGCGCGCAGCGTGGTGGGAAAGCAGCAACCCTTATCAAAATCTGGGGTGGCTACATCGTGGTTTCCATCTCGATTTTTATTCGTATTTATTCATCGACCGTCATATGGCGGAGAAAATATTTCACATATCGTCAATCCCCTTTTCGTCTACTTTCCCATACAATTGATAAATTGTATATTTACATTGTTTTTTTCCGTCTACGTGAAGAATTCTTCCTTGTGGTGTTTCTTCTCTCGACACTTCTTATTCTGGTTAGCAAATATCTGCCAAAAAGTTTGAATTGAATTTTAAATTTTCGCATTCTCGATTGCCCATTCGGAATATGTTTTTCGTTTGGAGAAGGGATTATCTCCATATTTTCCTTATTATTCCACTTTCTTTTGCAACACTTTTTTCTATGACAAATAAAATCTCTGTTGCACAGAAGCTTTCACACAAATTGTCTGGAAAATTGTGAGCTTCTTTTCTCGCATTTTGAGTTGGGTGGGAAAAAAGTGCCAATTGGGGGATATTTAATTAGAAAAATACGTGAAACTAAGAGTGGCAAAAAGAGGGTTGAAACACATTCGATTGTTCAATGAGTGTTTTTGTGAAAAACTTCATCGAGATTTCTCATTCCTTTGAGTGGCCAATAAGTCTCAATTTATAGGCTCGAGAAGAAAAGTTTCGATATTGAGAGAGCACAAAAGAGCTCGGGGTTGAAAATTGAATTACGTTTTTCTGCCAATTTTTGAGTATTCAACTGACGAGGGCTGTAAAGTGATTCAATTCCTCCTAATGCTAGGCTATTGAAATTAATTAAAATTTATCACTCAATTTTCAGGATTTTTCTCCTAAATAGTGCAATTTCAATTCAATTAAAAAGTTTTAAATGAATTTACCCTTGTTCCTATTCATCCTCAAGTCCAGAGTTCCACTGTAAACAGATACTCGCGCGCGAGAGTGGTAAGAAAAAAAAAGGGGGAAATGGTTCAATTTGAAGCAATATCAATCACACAGCATATACGCAACATTCCGTGTAACCATAAAATCATACATGTTTGATTTTGCGACATAAAAAGTGGTCGAAGAAATACGATTATGATCGGTGGATTACGCAAATTAAATAGAGAATAAAAGAAGAGAGCGCCTTATTGATAAATTCTAATTCAATATTCTTCTTCTCGAGATTTTATTGCACTTTTGACGCACACGGAACGCAAGAAAGTGGGGTGAAATTGAAAGAAGTACTACACAGCTTTTGGGCGGATGAATTACATTTTTACGATTCACCGCAGATAGTGAAGCGGTTTTGAGCTTCACATGGTGAGATATTTGCATACATAGGAAATATCTCATGGCATGGCAGAAAATTTACTAAAGAACTGAACGAAGAAAAAAATCCCCCAACACAGGCGCATATGTGAGGGCAGTAAAAATTGATACCTTTATTTTTTTCAACTTTATGACAAATATCAACAAGGTAGACTTTGCCATGGTTTATGGCTTTTCGTACTTGTTCCCTCAATCTGTACAGAGAAAGGATTTCTCACACACACACACACACTCGTCCTTTCCAGGGCAGCAACAATTCCACTTATGGGGAAAATAAAAGGGGTTGTATTTTATCGTCCAAACATTCCTTTCCAATATTGTACATGATTTCTTGTCTGGTGGCTTTTGATTAATAAGATTTGCCACCGACTCCATTCTCATATCTCTCTCTTTTACCGATAAATAAAATTTTGCCGGGACAAATATGTTACTGCACTCAGAGAAAAATATTGGAAGAGAGAAGGAAAATTACGAAAAGCTAATCAAAGTTAGTAAAAGTAGTAAAAAATTTTGACTTATTAGAACATACTGTTGCAAAAGCGCCAATAAAATACCACCCATTGGGACGCTTGAAGGAGATTTGAAGAATAAAATTTGACCTTAAAAAGCGTCTTGAAATTACTTGATATTGGATAACTAGAAAGTTTCACTCGTACGTCACAATTTTAAATCAGATAAATTTTATGAGTTGTTTATTGCTCAAACGGATTCCTGTTAATCTTCTCCTGATATGTATTTGATGTGATGCATTGCGGTTTTGTTCAATCGATTTTACAACACATATTTACTTAGTAGATTATCAGAGGAATAAAAACAATATTCCAGACGAAGGACATTCGCTGTGAAAACAGAAATACAGTCAAAGAAATAAAAACAGACAAAAAGTTGTTTTTAAATGCCACAGATTCAATTGCAAATCATGTGAAAGGAAAGCAGCGCAAGTCAATAACTCGAGGACAATGTTGTTTATTTGTTTCTCCAATTCAATGAGTGTCTCTTCTGTGAATCTTTTCTGGTTGAATCAGTACTCTGTCGTACGTTTTATTGATTTCGCATGGCAAAATTGAGGGCCTCGAGCTTTCATGATGGGTGGAAAGGGGGCGAAAGCATGCTGGGGTTGATAAGTTGATGAATATGATAGTTTCGTCTCTGGTAGAGGCATGATGGAATCGGGATTGGGAGGGAGACAATTCATAATCTCATACGCTGTGTGATGAGGAGCAAAAGGGATGCGTCGAGGGTGAGATGGGAGGGAAAAATTGCGGAGGAAAAACAGTGCGTAGCGAATGTAATGTAATTCAATGTGATATCTGTGAAACATGCATTTAGTTAATTGAAAAATGTGAATTGACCTCATCATTTAATATATTTCTCCCTGTCTATATTAATAAAATACTGGCGTCTGTCACTGTTGGTTGGGGTATGATTGATCATCATGCAATTTGCAGTCATAATTGGCGACATTAAAGCGACATGCCCATATTTTTTTCTTGTTCAATATATTGCAGAAAAGTCGTCCGTGTGCATGGCAAATTCAATTACTGTAATCCTTCGACAATGCGAAAGAAGCCAATTCCGAGTCACGATTGTGGGTGCTGGCGCGGAAAAAGCCGTGGGAAAGGAAAGTTTTCATTAATCTGACCAATTGGGTGGAAGGCAACGCCTTTTTGACCCAATCAAATCGAGATTATCACTCTTAAATTTACTCGAAACATTCAGTGAAATGGTGGGGATATCTATGTTCGATGCTCTTCTAAACATAAACAGCAACTCACGCGAGAGCATGGAAATGCATCTTATAATGTATTCGGGGCCGAGTGAGTGCGAGAGAACTTGCAAATTGTACGTTTTCCCTCCTTTTTCGCACCGCCAGTGAGCAAGAGGGACATGGAAATTCCACGCAAACGCCACCCACACTCATGCACGGCGTTTTCTCCTAAATACACCAGCACACTGAACTGAGAGAGTGCCTAGAGTTGAAGGATTTACTAGGACAATAATTAACTTTAAGAGATGAGGACGGTAAAGTCCTTTCTGCCAGAGCCTTCTCAGTTCACTCTCCTTTCATTGCCCTTAACTCGCTGGCGCATCTGCCGAGGGAAATATTGTTTGCCGATCGTGACAGAACACAGTAGAAACTGTTAATAGATTCGAGCAGTCTGCGAAGTCCTCAAATTCGCTGTCAGTGGTTTTTTGCATAGTCAAGTCCGGGTGTATTTCACCGTGAGAGGTGTAAAAACGTATTAGGACAAAAGGATCAAGGTATTTGCGTATTTTATGTTTCTTTCATGGCATTCTCAAAGGTTCAAGGCAAAAAAAAAATACTCATCCTCTTTTTCACAACTAAAACCATTTCTCGCTCTTCCTCCAGCACGATGGCTTCTTTGGACGTTGGGAGAGTATGAGAAATCTCATTAATTTTGCCTTTTGACAAATCCGTTTTCATTTTACAATAGTCTCCATGGGTGTATACAATTTATATGGTGAGTGTCATAAGTTTCCTCTCCATCTAAATGGGATTGTTGCGAACTCAATGAAAAAGGACGACCGGATGTCCTGAATTGGGTTATACATACATGCTCCGTGCGATAGCAAATGAGAGTCGACCGGAATGGTGAAACGCGCACACGGATGGAAATAGTTCAGCCATTAAATTTCTTTTGTGTAAATATAAATACCATCGTGTTTATTATTATTATCATCCCTCTCTGGATGGCTTTGCCATGGAAGATGGCAAGGTCCAGGGGCAAAAAAGAGCCCCGAGGGGGAAATGGCTAATTGATAGGGCAGATTATATTGCGTTGAGAAGCATTTTCCATGTGAATCACCGGTAATTTATTGCCCTGATTCTCCTTTGTCGTATCATACTTTAATGTGACAAATTCACTCAATTATCCTTTCTCCCATGCGCTCTAATTCAATATTCCGGTGTCTTTTTCCGTTCTCATAAAACACTATATATACGGACTTTATATATTGCGCTGTGCTCACATTCCTGGAATAAAAACCTCCTATGGCCATGAAGAAAGAGTCCATAAAGCTCCTCTAAAGCTCAATTTCCGTGCGATGTGCACACACATAAATGGGAGCATGAAGGAGACGAAGAAAGATGTTAAATCGAATAATTTAAAATTATTACACATATGAATAAAACTACTTATAAAATGCTAAAGAGTCTGACAACAACAGCATCGTGAAAAACGGTGAAGAGGAAGAATATAAAATGTTATAAAATAAATAAAAGTACAATAAACCTCGGCCATAGAGCCAGTTAAACCCCATTTATGCTGTAGCCATGGGGGCTCTGAACGCTCTCTTTCTCTCTCTCTCTCTCGCTCTCGAAGATTATTAATAAATGGAAAATACGATTTTATTATCCTTTAGCAAAAAAATCGTCGGGAAATAACAAAAATAAGAATGAGATGGAAGTAATGAACTCGAACGCTCCACCCCAAAACCAAATATACTTCATACAATTGCCCTCTCCGGGAGGCGTGTCTCTCTGGCCGGCGTTGTGTTGGTGAACGGCGCAGATGTTGGTCCTCTTCTGGCGCGCGTGTCTCCCATGGAAACCACTCAGAAGGGTACAGAAGCCGAGCGAGACGGCGAGCGTGGCTGGAAATCTTGTGGCGAGAGCTCGCTGGCAAGAGGAGTCTCTGGACAGTTGGACTCCATTCCTTAACGTTAGGCCTAGTGGGTCAGTTGTAAATCCGAATAGCTCTCGTCAGAGACTTGAAGTCGATCTTGAGAGTCTGCTCAATGATTAAGTCTATGTGAAGTGGAGTGATCCCGACGCGTTTCAGTGCTACTTGAGATTTTGGGCATTTAGGAACTGAGAAAAAGGACTTGAATTCTGAAATGTGGAGGCTGTGATGTAACGGGGGAGTCTCCAGCCTGAGTGCAGCTTCAGCATCAATCTGGGTAGTCCGTATCTGTCAGCGACGGGCTCTGATAGCCCCAAATTGGGTGCACTGGTCGCTCCACACCTCGGTGGCAATCTCAGTCCGTTTCCGTTCGCCGCCTCGCCCCAGCTGAATCTGGCTGCCTTCCGCTCGCCCGCATTCCTGGGCTCCCATGGATTTTCCTTCGGCGGTGGCTTTGGGTACACGCGAGACTCCACGGGCGGCGGCAACGGTGCCGTGCCGTTTGACTGTCAGTCGGGCCAATTGAATCATCATCACCACCATCCGAGTGCGTTTCGCAACAACAATAACAATAGTCCAGTGAATCTGTTTGTGGGCGCGAGTGGGAATTGTGTCAGTGGTGGTGTCGTGAGTGCAACAGATGGTGCCGATCGCGATGGCAATTTGAGTGACTACTGCTACGACCGTGCACAGCCCAAAGATATCGACAGTCAAGACGTCGGCTACACAAATTGTGCCTCATCCAGGGACGAAGACACCCCGCACTACGCCACAAGTCGCGACAACAGTCCCCTGCATCCCAACCTACCGCCCGAGAGCCCGGACGGCGCGGGCAAGCGCCTGGACACGGACAGTCCCGTCGAGAGCTCCAGGTCGTACCTCAGCCAGAAGAGTGACGACATCACCGGCTACCACAGCCCGCAGAACGATAGCATCGGATCGCGGAGTCCGGAGAATCTCACAGGGAGGCGAAGTTTAGACTACCCGTCGGCAGGGCAGAAGAACGTGTCAGACATGCTGGATCACAAACTGCCCCTGAGCTTCCTAGGCCCACCCCTGGCAGCCCTGCACTCTATGACCGAAATGAAGTCGCCCGGCGGCACGGCAGTCACTCAAACGCCCTCACAGTCCAACCAAACCGGGACCGCCAATCCGCACGGCATCGACAACATTCTCTCCCGACCACCGCCAGTCACTAGCGCAGGGCTCAGTGCTTTGACAGGCGGTAAGTGCTACTCGAACACTGACCTTCTAGGTAGATCCTGACTTCATATATACGGCTTTCGCTTCTGTCTCTCCCCAACTGAACATTAGATTAACCCGTCCTTTTGCTGCTACGCCAAGATGCACTGCAACTTGATATCATTCTCATGCTTAACGGGTGACGGTTTTGATTTCAGGAGCCATGCCAAGATTCTCAATAGCTGCAGCCGCTGCTGGAATGGCTCAGTATCTACAGCAGAGTCAGCAAGGTCCTTTGAAGGCACACTCGGGCTCCCTGGTGGACAGACCTCATCTCTATTGGCCCGGGCTTCAGGGACTCGTGGCGAATCCCATGGCTTGGCGGGATCGATTGGCTGGTTCCAGTAAGTACTCTTAAACTACTCACATAATTCAGGCTGCTTTGGATGAATTCGGGGCTAAAACACTTCATCCAATGTAGCCCTGCTCTCACCTAAATTCTGATAACTGTTAATAATAATACGTAATATAAACATTCTCATTAGGCGACCTCTAAAAATTATTATAAAAAATACATTTAAAAATCTATTCAATTAAGTGTGAAGATGATTTCTCGGTTTAATCTTGCCGACAATAAATCTCATCTTTGTCAATTGCATTAAGAGTTGTTAAAGCTTCCTAAGATGTTTTTTAGCCTCAAAAAGCACTTTATACGACATTTTCATCAATTACGAAGTTTTTTGGATAGCCTAATGAGATGTCTTTTTTTACCAAAAAATTCTCTCTTAAGAGTGTAAATTGCAAGATAAAAAGCTCCGCCCGGAAGTGCAAAATTGACCCAATTTCTCATTGCAAACACTGGCTCGCGATGGAAAAGTGTGAGAGTTAATAAATGTTGGATGGTGCGCGCTGTTTATGGTAAAACACTTGACATTTTCAGTCGCATGATAATAAATTAAATGAAAGAAAATTCATTGTGTTAAATGAGGGTGTAATTAAATTAGATGTATAAAATTTACCGCCGCAATTGTGTGAGAAAATAATAAATTTATATCTATTCCTCCGGTACTTGACGATTACACCTTAATTACAGGCCCCAAAAACATATACACACCATATGGTGTCACCCCACTCTTTTCAAGGAGGCAATTATTGCCCCAAAATTGACGTGCCATTATAATACTCATTATTGCGCGCAATTCCACTTAAGGCACGTCTTCTCCTGCTTTGACTTCTGGGATCGTGAATAATTGTCTCTCTTCTGTGCGCTTTCTTTCCTTGACTTGGCAAAGGCGGGAAGAAAAGGTGGGAAATTTGGTGGGAGGCGCAGAGTTTATACTGGGAAATTAGGGGAGCAATTAAATCGTTGGTGGGAGGAAAGTCGAGGGTGGGTGACATTTTTATCAGCGTGACAACATTATTGAGCATATTAATGTGTACATATTGCGATAATCGTGCCATTAATTTAACTAATAACGCCTCAATCATTATCGGCAATCGTGTGTGATCGCGCATTTATCGCTCAATATACACATCCCCAACTATTAATAGAAGGTGTTGAACAAATGTTTCAGATATTTTTCGGGGTTTTGTCCCCAATGTTTGTCGTGCGCGGACGCAAAACACCAACCAATTCAATACAATTTTAATTAATTTCCACGATAAATGCTGACAGATGGTTGGAAATATTATGAACATGGTCCACAATATTCCATGCTATATCGCAGCGATACATTTCTGATAAATACTGTGTCATATTTGATTATTTAGCCGCCAGTCGTGGTGGGAGATGACTCTGTGATTTATCCCCACGCCCACTTCTAATCCCAAATTAATCTCGTTGCAAAATCCACCCCAACTCCGAAATATATATGGGTGGGTCAAAAATTATCACGCAGAGTCACCACTCCACGTTCCCACTGGAGAGGTGAACAATTGGTCACAATTTGAGATTCACTGGAGGCCAAAATTTACTGTGTCCATCTGCACAATGATCCATCATGGAGTGTAGCATGAAATCACGTTCGGAGTGATACAAATTGCACAATTATCCATTATTATCAGAGTATAGTTGCAATTTAGATCCATCATGGTACATATTCTCGTTGTGTCTCCCCCGGAACATGTCTCTATTCAATTCTCCCCAATTGGTCCACCCTAATATTCACCACACGCACTCCTTCCGGACCTCAACTGTCCTTCCGCAGGACAATCATTTGAGGATGGAATTGCAGTGATTTTACTGCGGTCGCAAAATTATATTAGAACAACAGATACATATTCTTTTCTTTGGTTTTATTGATTCTTTTCGAAAATATTCCTTTAAAATCTTAAAAGAAAAACCCAAAATGTGTCTTGAACTCAACTGAAATAGGATAATAAAATGGGTTCGAGAAGTCAATTATTTTATTTGCAATATCAATCTGCTTTTTGCTTGATTTCATATAAATGTAAAGTCTCTAGAATGGGGTTTATTTGACCAAGAATCACTGTATAAACGATTTAATGGGTCCAATTCATTCAATGAATATCCCCTGAATGCAGCCAACGAAAATGGGTGTCTATTGAGAGGCACAATTTAATGACTTTATAGTGGAATTTGTGTCGAGCAGAAACAAAATTAATTTACTGCTTTAGTACGATTTTAATGCCATGAGGATCATGCTGATTGATCGAGAGCAACACGGAGAGATTGTGAATCGTGAGAAAATCCCAAATAAACGCCATATCGTGATTTTTTTCCCTCTTCCGTGGCAAATATCAGTGCGGACAGAGTCGGGGATGGGCCAGTCAGAGAATTATTTTGAAGTTTTGAGAAAGTAGAGGCGACGCCAGACAATTTGATATGCTTACACTTTCTCTCTCTCGTGTATCCAAAAGCGAACATGGGGAGTAATTAAAGGCTCCCGCACTCCCATCTCGTTCGCTCTAAATGATGCTCCGGCAGATTGAGGCAATTCAGTGTCTATGTACCATATCACGTGCTCAGTATTGTTAATGCGACGTCATATGTCGATAATGACGCCAAAAACAACTAATGATCATTATATGACGTTATCAAAATTTCACCAAGTTTCTCACTATATCGCTATTATTCTGCTCACTTGGGGGATCACCTTTTAGGCATTTGTCTCCTTTTCCCCCGGGAGAAGCACCCTCGCCGGGCCATATTGTGCCTTTTTTGTGGCATAATTGGAAGTTTAGTGCATGAAGTACCGGGCGTCCCCACTGTGCGAGATGGAGACGCCTGGTGGGGGAAGAATGAATGGAGTTATTGGGCTTTTGGCCACGCTGAAGGGACTCTTTTATGCTCCTGTACACATTTTTCGATACCACACGCATCTCACGGAGGGAGAGAGAGAGAGAAATAACATATTTCACTAGATGGTGGAATATTTGCAGACGCCCAGAGTGAAATGGCGAAACAATAACTGGGGCGAATATCAAATAAAAATGACCAACATGGGAGCAATTGAAATCATTTTATGGCATCGTGGTGAAGTGTTGAGGAAATGAATTTCATTCTCTATACATCATTTTAATTTGCCCCTCCATATATTTATTTTATTGCCCAGTGAGGTGTTTTATTATTGATTTCAATGCGATTCTCGAAATCATTCTCCGTTTGGATGTGCGATGCAAGGGGAGAAATGGGCATGTGTGTTTTTGCTGAAGGAGATTTCAAGTGATGAAGAATTGAGAGATCCTTTAATTGAACCTTATTTAAAAATTGCTTATTCACTAGAACGAATAGAGCGAGAGAGAAAGAGCGGAAAGAGACGAAAGAAGAGGCGGATAAACAAACAGCGATCAGTACACCCAATATTATTTCAAGTGTTTCTCCGGTCATCTCATTATTTCACTTTATCGTTTGATATTGTATTTGATTTGTTGTTTGTTCAATAAACAGTGAAAGAGCGTGTGAGAGGGAATTTATTGATTTCACTTGATTTCTTTGACATGTGTGCCCAATGAGAATACCAACATGGCATTGATATTTGGCTACGTTCAATTAATGTTGATAGAGTATCAAAAATTAGTTGTGTCCCCGAGACATTCAGATGCCAATCTCACACAATATGCTCCTAAAATCGTATTTCATCGGATTGGTCAAAATATCCTCACTCTCTCTGCCTGTCTACTCGAATCCCCGGCACTTTGCCTGGGCGACTAAAGGTTAATGTTGGCTTGGGGATATTGTTTCGAATACAGGCAAATTAATATTTAAGGTGGTCTCACGTTTTGGCAAATTCTATCATTCCGACAGACCTGGTGGATGATTGCTGGACGGGGAGGTGCTTAGCATGTCGGAGGATCAGTATGGGAGGGCTATCTTAATTTAATTAAAACCCTCCGTCTGAAATTGTATTTCAAATCCACCCTTCGTGCCTAGACAAAACTCCCTGAGTGACTTCTAATCTATCGCATAATACTTCAGAAAGCAATGTTGGGTAATTTACCGGAGGGAAAGTTGGTTTTTCCGGAGGAATATAATGTTTGAAGATTGTTTTCAATCATACAAATTTGTGATTCGCCAGAAATTTTAATTTAATTGTGGTTTTTCAGAGAAATTTTGAATTTGCAATGAACTCCGCATTCTCAAATGCAATTGATAAAATACTGAAATGATGGAATTTCAAAAGTGGAGAACCAAATGACACTTTAAACCACTTTTACGGTCAGTCATATTTCAAGTTTATTTCCAGAACTACGGATATCGCCATTCGTCTGAGTGCACATTCAAGTCAGGGGCTATCATTGCAGCAATAAAGCATTAACCAATCCCCCTCCTCTGTCTCTCCCCTCCCATTGTGGCAATTAATATCAAAATTGGCTCACCCCATTTCACAAGTTGAGAGTGAATGCCGGTGAAATGGCATAAGCGGAGAATTGCTTGTCAACCCTTTTACGATATGATGCGGTGGCAAATGAAGGGTATCCAAAGTTGCGCAGGGAGACTTCTTGCTTTTCACTCAATTTCATTGTTCCCAAGAGAATGCGAAAGGAAGAGAGACTCTTTCTTCTCCTTCTGGAGAGTATACACTCTAATTGGTCAGTCACCCTCTTTGCTCGCAACTTCATCCCTGTGCGCGCCACAGAAGGGCAATTGTGATCATCTAATGGCGTCGATGCTATCGACGCCAAGATCTCTTTCTATTCCCATCGCATACTTTTATAAAGCAATTCCGAGACATGATAGTTTGGTGAATTGATTTCCTCGGCCAGGGGGTGATTCATATCGGGCGAAGGTGGGTCTTAGGGGATCCCTTGTTGCATATTTATCTTGTTTCAATTGGTCATTTTGCCCGTTTAACGACCATTTTTATGGATTCCACCCTTAATGGCACGCTACTAATTCCTTAATTACCGACTACCATTAAAGAAGTGTTTGCTCACGTTCAGTAGCCTCCCCATTGGCCTCCAGGGAGCAACATTTTCGATGCTGTACAAGCAATAAAATATTTGATAGAGTCAAATTTATATTCAAGCGAGGATTTTTCCATAAACTGCCCTCTTGAAATGCTGGTGTGCGCGGGTCAAGGGAGATTGCAATGGAATGGGGATTTATGATGATCGTGATGCTCCAACATTGTGTCAGATGAAAGGATTGTTTCATTATTGTGCGATTTGACATCTTATCAGTTGACATCTAAAATTCTTTTCTTTTTCGATTACTTTGCTCAATTAAATAGAGATGTCCTAACTCACGATCCACAGCTGAAGAGCTTATGGGAATTTTTCCTGGAGCACAGCCCAGAAGCTGACAGGGTGAGAGATGGTGGTGCTGGGTTGAAGAATCAGCAGGAATTCACGTACATGTGTTGTACATAATAGGGAGCGGATGATAAAACATAAGTGGAGACATGGAATATAAAGAGGCGAATAGCATGGAAATGGCTCGTACGACGTCAAGTACATATGTATTCTGGCTTTCTATGGGGGATTTACCACTTCACCAAAACCACCCCCGGCTCTCGGTGTATGGAGAAAAGAGCTTTCATAGTCTCCCCATCATCGTCAGTAACGGAGGCGAGAGTGTATCTCTTTCGCTCCGGCGTTGTAGTCTCCGGGCAGTCAGCATGAGGGAGACAGAGAGGCTGACAACATGGAAAATGATGATGGTGGAAATTATGCAGAGAAGTCTGGGATTCAGAAAATAATGGTTTTACATTTGCGACGCGGAGGATGGGTGCGGAGGGATGCTATGTAGCGCACGCCTCAAGGGTGTCTCGGAGGAGATGTGAGGAGGGCTTCTGGCTGGGAGAAACCACATTTTAATTGCTCCAATTGTAATTGTATTCATTTAAGAGGTTCATACTGAGAATATGCTGATGATGTAATTAGATAGGAGATCCCATATACACAATTATCTTCTATGTCTAATTTATATTCATTTTATGTAATCTCTCATTCCGACAAGCGAATTTTTCCCCAAACACCCCCTCGCGTTGTGATTTATCTCGCGTGATTTTCCCTCTTCGCAGCAAAATTCATCGATCTGTTGGGGGGAGCTTTTTCACCGCCCCCGCGCGCAATGAAAAATGCGGCAAAAGGGAAGCTTTTGCGGAAGTTTTCCCGCAAATCAATATCAAAGGAATTTTGCAGTTGCAGAAGCACCTCATTCTCGAGGCATCTCGACACTCACTTATCTTCTCTCTGTCTGTATGTGGATGTCTTATGGGGCTTTTTCCACGCCGGCGTCGCACCACCCACTTCCGCTTTCCGACATCTCACCACTCATCGCTCTCTCTTCCCGCGCACTGTTCACCCATTTTGTCGATTGGTGGACTTATGATGCTCCAAATATATGGAGAAATCCCGTGCAATTGACGCTCCTTATCGAGTGTGTTTTGCTCCAACCAGCGCATCTTCATGGAAGAATGTTCCCACAATTGGGGAACTCATTAAAATCATCTCTAATTGTAAATTTCGGCAGAAGCACACAATTAATATTCATCAGTCAAAAGTAGGAATAGCTGAAAAAGTGATGAATGGCAGAGGAATTCATTTCCAATCATCACTCAAGCTCCCATCGCTCTTTCTTCTCCCACTCCTGATCGTGAGACTGAGTCGGATAGTATGAAGATCTTCGCGGGTATTTGTAGATGAGAGTGAGAAAAGACACAAAAGATGATGACCAAAATGGCTGCTGAGCGCGTATTTGTTGTCTTTCACGGCTCCCTCGTGTGGATGCCAAATGGGCAGCCAAAACGCGCGATATTCACTTGTCTGGCCCTAATGATGCCATCAGGCGAGTGTTATTTGTTCAACAACGCCTTGTGGTCTGTGGCCAGGAGGCTTCTTGAGCACTTTGCAAGTCCGTGAGAATATCTGTGGAGTCAATTGATCAATTGGTGCGAGCACAAACAGCCAGTCATGCTTCACCAGTCTTCAAATGAAAATGTCAACAATCTCCTGAGGAGAAATCATTCACAGCATATTCAGGGGTTTGCTGTCAGAAGCTCTAAAAGGAGAGATGATGGTTGGAGGTGGAGGCAAAAAAAAACACTGTGTTGATGATGTTAGTCATCACCTTTTGGTCTTCATCGCCAGCATTTAAAATAGAGCTTTTTATTAGTCTTTTTCATGTGAATTTCTTTGTCTCGCAATCAGAGTTGAGTGATTCGCAGCGATTTCTAGATAAAGAATATAAACTAGTGTAAATTAGTTGTTGCCAAATGGAGCGGCATTATTTGCTTTAATCAAAAAGCAAACATCTTGCGAGGATTGGAATGAATAGAAAGTTCTTAAATCTATGTGTCTTTCAGCTCTCGCCGCTGTGCTTACACTTGACGAAAAGTTGTGCTCATTTTTTCAAATTAATTTTGTGCAAACACAAAACGCCCCACTCCACATGGTCGATATAAAAATTCCATCCAGAGAGTCAGAATATTTTATACATAAAGAGGCTAAATTCAAATCTCTAAATCCTATGTTTCAATTGAGGATAAAAAATCCTTATTATTTTTTTATCCTTCCCCGAGACTTACACATCTGGGGAAATGGTCGGGGATTGTGAGTTGAGCATACTTGGCGTGAGGGAAGCAAAAAGCCATGGGGTGGAGAGATACATGGTGTCTTTTTTGTTCACGCACTCTCTTCAGCCTCCCTCTTGGTCGTCGGAGGGGCTCTTGTGCAATTTTCTTCGTGTTATACACCCTCTCGCCCCCAGAGGAAATGGAGGGAAAAGCTCTTGTCGTGGGAGGAGTGGAAAAATGCCAAGCATCAGCATCAGAGGGTGCCTCTTCCGCCCACCAACAGTGCGGCATTGAGGGCGGAAAAAAGCGTGCGAGCGCAGATGTGGGGTTGACGCACAAATACCATGTGGATTGAGTGGAGATGATGTTTTGGGTTTTCCACCTCGTGTTTACTTCATCGATGGAATTACAGCAATCTCTCCCCTCTCTGTACTTGGGCATATCCGGATATTTTATGACTATTGCTATTGTATTCTGTGTTTTCCTGCAATTTCATAATGTTTCACCCAACGACAATGTTACCAGGCGAAATTGTTTATTTGCTCGCGCTGTGCTAAATCTCCTTCTCCCTTCACTCTCTCTCTTTGCAGTGGCAGGAAGTCTCTCCCAGTCACACCAGCAGCACGACAAAGATGGCAAGAAGAAACACACGAGGCCTACATTTAGTGGTCAACAAATATTCGCCCTGGAGAAGACCTTCGAGCAGACCAAATATTTGGCTGGTCCGGAGAGAGCCAAATTGGCCTACGCCCTGGGAATGACAGAATCTCAAGTGAAGGTAAGCTAGATTCCCAGGCAATAAGTGGCAAGAAAGTTCGTGAAATTTTTTTGTCCGCCAATTTATCATTCTGTGCAATAAATAAGACACAGAAAATGCCACAAATAATGGGTCATGGCGAGTCTGAAGGGCAGGGAATATAAAATGAAGTGGTGAAATGCTCCAAGGGTACACAGAAACAAAAAATCCACCCCAATTTTTCGGGGAATACTGCGGAAAATCCCTTCCCAGGTCACACATGTTCAGTCGGTGTATTCTTTTCCCTTTGGGCGATGGATTGTTGCACTGCTAAATTCTTTCGTGGATAAAATACAGTTGATTCAAGTGAATCACCTAGAAATATTCCGCAATGTTTGATCCCTTAAATCTGGAAGTCACATATGGAACAATTTGCAGAATCCCTTTGTCCATTTCAACCCTGTCGACAGAAATCTATTCCAAAAAGTTGCCTTTCTATGGGATTTTCAGCTCAGAATGAGGCTAAAATAGATAATTCACCCCTTTTATTGGCTAAAATGCGTAACAAATGATATGATAAACTGAGAGCAAGGCGCACTTTCAATTATCTCTCGAAGGGGTGAATGTAGCAATAAAACCCCACGTCGTGTGTGATTGCGTTTGAGAGGCGCGCAGTTAATTAGTCGCTCTTTATATCGCGGAGAAATATGAGTATTTTGATATGTAAATGACTAAACGGTGCGATTTTTAATGGATTTCACACAAACACACACACACATACAGACACAGCAAAAATTGATCCATGAGGAGTGGTTGAGGAGTTGTGGTGATGATTTATGCGATGACCATCTCAGGGATGAGAGCAAAAAAAGGAGCGCGCTATTCCATCAAACGGTGCTCAATAAATCAATCAAAATTTATTGTTAATCATGGGGCAGAAAGTGCAGGAGAAGTCATTGATGTCTCTGGCAGTAAATTCAACCAAAGTGCCAGAAATAGTTTCCAAAATCGATTAAATGCGAGGCGCAAAAAGCCCACCCAGCAGTCCGCCCGCTGTGACGCCTTGGTCGTCCGGTGTCGTCATAAATACAATCAAAATGATTGACTGCCATCAAATGCTGTCGGCATTGACCACGTGCTATTGACAGCCCATTCCGACATCCATCCATATCCTCACACCATCCCCAGGAGAGTCGGCACCCTTGGCTGCACATGCAAAGCATCCCGGCGCAGCGCCCCGCCCGCCCCGGATTGCTTGTACGGGACTAAATGATTAAATGCAATGAGCCACTGTTGTATATAAATTTCCGTGGCGTTGGGCTCTGAGCGCCTCGAAGGGTATCAATTACGGTATTACGAAAGATTATAGACGCATATGTCGCAATAAACAGGCGTCGAGCGCCACCCAAAATCCACGCCATTGAGGCAATATTCCTGACGAGGAGGCGCGCTTCAGCAGGAGGAAAATTTACTGGGACACCGAGGGCCCCTCGTGAGTGTCAATGGTTGGCGCAATTGGTAAGGATTTGCGATCAGCACAATAGCGAAATCCCCATGTTTTCCACTTCGCGCCATTTAATCAATGTAATGAAATGATTTGGCCTCTGATTTATTAATCTCTAAATGTTTGCACGCAATTATTTCCACCCCACACTCACATCCCTGAGGCGTTCAGCCCCGGGAAAACACAGTACACACTCTAATTTCTCACTTTGTTTCTGGACATTTTGGGACCATCGATTGGTGTTGTGACCGAATGAGTAAATTGTTGGTACATTTGTTGCATTTCATTTAATTATATCCAATGCGATCAATAATTGAAATTGAAATTAAACAAACACTAAAGAATTGAAATACTTCCTCAATTGTATGTCCTTCCGCATGAATTTCATTTCCAAAAAACATATCCTTGAACAAGCGATTTGCTGAATCATCTCCAATTTCCTCAAAAGATGAAAATTCCATTAAGTCCAAATTCAATGTCTTGAACACTTTACTTTGGAATTGGGATAAAAACACAATCCAATAATCTCAAGAATGTGCGGTAATTCGAGATGGTCATTGGCATAACTTGGAGGAATTATTCAGCAAAACACATTGGTATTTGCTTTCGGGATTAGGGTTTCTCAAGCATTTCATTAGTGGCTTCCACACACTAATCTTTTAGGTTCATCGACAAACACATCTCTTCATTGACCAAAATCCTTTTATGATTATTGCATCTGATAATTAATTTCCTCCCCGGCCAGAGAGTGTCGTTTTTGGGGGTTTGACACTGAGTGTAAAACATATCCAATTGGGTGGCTGTGTTTTGTAAATTAAGACTCTGGACTTGATCTTATTTGAAGGCGATTTATCGCCTCCCCTTTCGGCGTTTTTGCGATAGGGTGGAAAATAGAGAGGGTGGTCTGTTGACTCTTAGTTTACTCATGTAAGTGAAACGCTTAATTTAGCAGCGTTTAGCAGTGCACCGGGAAATCCATTGAGGGTGATTCGGATGAAAAGCCACGGGGGTTGTGGGTGAGGAGTTTTGCACAAAAGACGTATTTCGACGCCTGTAAAACCCTCTTGGTGCCATTGTTCCGCTCCGTGTGTCTCCGAAGGCGGAAATGCATGGTGGAGAAGTTAATTTATAGGATTTAGATTCACCAGCACCCAAGGGGTGAGCATCAATTGAGTTAAATGCGTGGTGTGAGCGGAAATCATGACTTCCAGAGGCTTATTATGTGTTTATTGATGGGCTCTTAGAGCCAATTGAGACGATTGCACTCGTTTAATTGATTTTCGCACTCTACACAATTAATGGACATGCAACATTTCCTCTTAAGCCTCTTATGTCGTGCAATATTGCACTTCAAGGATTGCATAATGGCCGAAAAATTCCGAGTAAAATATTATGATGAAAAAAGTTTCGTTCTAATAGAGCTTTGCCCCTTACGGACTGTTGGAAAAATATTTCCCAGGCAAATAGCGCTGTGCAATGGAAATGTTTCATTGTCCAGTATCTGGCTTCCAATTAAAATTCGCGACGTTATCTCGATAAGGGTAGTAAAAAATTGAATATCGAATTTGACGCAAAAATGCAGCATTTACGTGGATATCTGTGATTTAATTTACATAAATCTTGCAGTTTTTCGCAATACGACCCAGAGTTTTATTTCCACCCCACGGGGGAAAAAATGGCTTTTGTGCGGGGATGAAATGTGTGGAAAAATGCCACAAAATGCAAATTGAGATGCGTTATTTATCTCGATACAGAGATTCCCTTTTCACATACATATAATGGTGCTTTTTCCTCAACCAAACATGTTTATTAAAAAATCCTTCGACCCTTGCTTTTTGCCCATTTCCATGCCAAGTGCAATTTTCCCTTTGCTCACACACATACACAATAGCTTTCCTCGTGCCCATGGAAAATGCGTTGCAATTGAAAAATGACACAACCACATTGTGGTCGGACGTAACAGTGTCGGTAAATCTTTCGCCACCCCTTTTTCTCGGGCACTCTTCCAGGGTTGCCTTGCCACCGAATCGTCTTTCATTCTCTCCCCCTTTGCACAGTCCTTCGACAGAGAATCCCCCCATCGGGAAGCCGTGTGCAGGGATGGCTCGCGAGAGTGGCGGGAAAAAGGCTCTTCCCGGGGGAGAGAAAAGCTGCACAATGCGCGTTAACACCCCCTTTTGCGCTCTGCTGGGGGATATATGAGGGGCACCACGATGATTCTCCCTGACGCCATTCAACTCCATTATTTTGGTCTCTTTCGCTCCGCCAGGCAGAGTGACATTTATTGTTGACTTTTTTTCGGGTTGAAAACCAACCGCAGAGCTTTTCTTCTCCGCCATGGCTCTTCATCATAAAATTTCAATTAAACCCCAATTCATTAAAGGTGATTTACTCTCACATCAAATCTGTGTGAAATTCGGTGAGCTTTTGTGTTGGGACATGCGTGCTTCCATCATATATCACTTGAATGCTCGGGCGCGGAACCCCTGGTAAATAAAAGTCATCATTTATTGTTAATACACACCGCGAGAGAGGCAGAAGAATGGAAAGAGTCTCAGACTTGTGTCTCCCTCAGCGTCTTCGCTGGCATTCCAGCGTCTTTGTTGGGTCACTTTTGTGCTGAAATGTACAAAATCACTGAACGTTTTTACCCAACACTTCAACTTAAATCTCATAATTCCCTCACACTCACAATTATACGCCATTAAGCGTCTGATATGGTGAAATATAATATAGATTAATGATGGTCATCCCATCTCTCAGCTCACTGAAATCATCCATAATGAAATTATTTTCTATAAAAACACTCAGACAAGATGCGGAAAACGCGATCATCTTCGGAGAGAATCGCGCACTTAATTGCATTAAGAGTGATTCGAGGGTGGAAAAATGTTGCAATGTAATATGGGAAAAAAGGGGTTGAACATCAAATAGAGTTCCATTCATTTTTCCGCGTAAACCTTCATGTGAAATCAATTCTTTATTTTTATTAACAACGCTTGAATGCTATTGGAGCAATGAAGCGGAAATTATTATTTTTATTCTGTCTCATATAACAGTTATTTATGGGAATTGTCGCATAACTTTTGCAATTAAAAATTGTTTTATTGCCTATTAAATTAATGTGCATTTTATCTCGGTAAAAAAATTATTGGTTTCATTGTTAATTTACAATTTGATAAATATTTAGAGCTTCATTTTGCAATTCTCAAAAACCTCCGAATGATTTTAGTACCTATACCATGAAATTTCATTAGAATTTTTCCTAGTTCAAGTTAAAAGCAATCTTTCTGTATAAACGATTATTTGTTTGGCTTTGGTTTATAAGTCCACTTATATGCAACACAAATAGCGGTGAAGCAGTAAAAGTAGCAAAGTGATGATCAATCAATGTGAGCACTTTCTTCCTATTGTGCAGGAATTTAATTTGTGCATTCCTTTCAATCAACCCCGAGCACGTCACATCCGCAATGATATTTTTGCCACACTGTTGTCTTGCTCATCAGAGGCCCCGTCAGCAAAAATGTTTCAATCTTTGCTTCGTAATCCATTCAATTGGGGACCTCAGCATAGGAGCCGAAAAGGGGGAGATAGAAATGCCATGATCTCACCCTCCCAGAGCGCTTCATTTTATTTTACGACGTGCCTTGTGTGTATAGTTTTGCACATTTTTTCGATGTGTTTTATGGTTTCATGGCGATTTTAAATCAAATTTGATATGCGATCGGAATATTGATAGCTGATATCGTGGAAATTATGTATTATCTTCCTGGTGGCCCCTTTTTTGCTTCCTCGGCTCGCCCAAACGATGATTTGCTGCCAAATGATTTATCCCGCATCGTTCGCTGGTGTAGCGCTGCGATGTCCAATGAAATATTTCTCCTGCACGAATGGTTGTTTACCACCATGGCCATTGGGATGTAGGCACGAGCGGGTGGCAGAGGGTGGGATGAGAGATGGATTTCCCAAAATATCGAATGAATTGTTTCAGTATTCAGGACTTGATTCATGCCTTTTTCCCACACGAAACCGCAAAAATCGCGCGAAGAAATACAAATCATTCACATTTTCCAACTGCCAATGCTCCATTCGCCCTCCAGCATACAAACTCAAATTATCTCAGGCCACATCCGAACCCCACACAGGACCAGAAGAAGAGCCACACATATCTGTGTGTGGTAAGAAGATTTTCGGGAGTGTGCAAAGTGCTGCGTAATTTGTAAATCCTTCCTCGGCATGTTGAGACAATTGCATCCGGCTGAAGAGCGCCAACATGACTTTCAAAGAGCGCGATAACGCTGGTCGATCTGGCAAAACACATTTGCCAAAGTGAGGAATTTTAAATCACTATCTGATTGAGGGGTGTGCGCACGACACCCCATCGAGAGTCATCAGTTTCGAGGGGCTCTTGCGCTGTGGCGGCAAAGTCATTCGTCTAATGTGTGTGTTGCTGGGGTGGCTACTGGGATTTGGTTCATCAGGGAGAGAATTTTAAATCGTCACCACTTGCCTTCGCCAGAATCAAATTAACCCAGAAGATTAAATTGACCGAATCAAATGCTGTCACACTCGGGAGTGACTCTCAAATTGAGATCAAAGATAGGGAGTTAACGAGCGTGTTGCCATATATTTGATAATGAAATGAAAACGAATATGCATGTTTAAGTTTAAACATCACGATTAGAATGTCGTCTACATCAGTGGCCCAACTCATCCCTGTGCGTAGAGCATCGCTTTCCAAAGGATTAATGATTCCTTTGTATTAAATTCTAATTCAATTACACCAGCAAAAACATGAAAATCTCACCAAGACTGGCAATCAGGAGCGAAGAAACATAATTATGTTGTAGAAAACGATGCCGGAGGCAGTGAAAATAATTCAACTGCTAGCAAAAGATTGTCCTTTTTCGTGCCATTTGAGGGATAATTGTGTGTCGCATAATTAAAATCCTCTTGCGTGAGTACAATATTAATTTTAATCTCCTCGCCATCCCTCCCTCGCGGGGGCACAAATGAAAATTAATTGGAGGGTGAAGACGAACTTCCGAAGTGTGATTTTCCAAATGAAATTGTACAATGTTATACCCGAGATTGTCAACTGATACAGCACGGAAAGATGTAATTCCACCATCTGCAATTTATTTTAATTTTCAACAATTATAACAGAATTTTTCTCTATGATTTTTCTCCTCACCCTCTCGGATTGCGGCTGTATGGGGAGAAAAGGTGTGGGCTGCATTAGCATAAAGAGATTAAAAAAGCGGTGCTTCTTGCTGCAAATTGCACAAGAAGGGGTGATTCGGGGGTGGCTTTGGAGGAGAAAGAATAATAATTTGGACGGAGGTGAGGCATAAAAGTGGCGTAAAAAAATTAAATATCACTGTTCCAGCGCTCGACTTGAGCCCCATTCAACCGCACAGAGACATCATGAACCCCTTTCTGGGCATGAATCCGTGGGTCGTGTGTCCACCATTGAGATGAGATACCGGTAAAACATGCACAATGGTACTTTTTTAATTAAAATCCAGCTCATCTCGCACGAAGGAGGACATAAAACGGGTGGAAAAAAATTCAAGAAAGAAAAGAGGAGTAAATAAAAACAGCACAAACCCTTTAAAGTTTATGTTTTACCCCTTCGGGGGTGGTTTATTTCGTTGAAAGTTGATGATTTTTACGATGATAGCATCAAACCGAAACTTTCTCCAAGGACTCGAAGGAAAAAAATGTACATTCAAGAGATAATCCATTCGGCAAAGAGTCTAGATAAATTGAAAATACTTTACAAGAGACACATCAATGAAATATGATTAAATGAGCATTTATAAATCCTTTTTCCCTCATTTTAATAACCTCTCTCGCCCTGGAATAGTCGTGGGGCGGCGCGAGCAGGAAATCCTCGATAAAACTCTGTGGCTGTTTTGCCTTATTTAATCTCAAATAAACGTTATTAATGTTCTTCATTAATAATGTATAAACAGGACATTCGAAAGGGGTTGAAAAATGCCCTCGCACAAAGACTGAGAGGGCAACAAATCGTCCAAATGCTCTCAAATGTCTCAGATTGTGTACATACAATCAATTATTCCATCTAGCGGGGGTTGTTGCTCTTCTGCGTCTCCTTCAGAAGTGATGGGTGCTTCTCTCACTGAGAGCTGAATGTCAATTTCATAACTGCAAAATATGAAATTCGTAAATTTTCAACAGACTGTACGTACATCATTAAGGGTGGTTTTCTGAACATTATCTTGGGCCGCAGCTGCGACTGAAATCTGCCACAGTAACCTCCTCTCCGGCCCTCATTCCGCTCCCTGGGCAATATTTTGGGTGACTTTTAAGGCAAACTCGTGTGTGATTCTCATTTTACACCACATCTCTCACCCAGTGGGGACCAAAAAGTTGCTCCCCGGTGGTTTTCTCTAAATTGCCACCCCGTCGCAGAGTTGATAACAGCGTAAATTGAAGATTGAGGGAATTAAATTCAACTCTACATCATCTTCGCTCATCGTTTCTCTACGATAATTGCGCATTTAATAGCGATTCATGTATAAATTCAATGTAAAATACTTGGGAGAGTGTAAAATTCTGGGCAATTACAAAGAGTAATCAGCATCTCTTCTAGATAGCTTCGTGATAATTGCCATTCAACTCTGTATCAGAGTGGGAAACAGTCATATTTTGCTGATTCTCTCCCTGTTGGTGTATTTTAATTTCACAAAATTCCACTTTTGCCATCTCGTTGAACGCCATAAAATGTGATTCAATTAACACACAACTTTTTATGCCCATCTCACGCAGTCCTTCCTCCTCTTGCCTTTCAGGTGTGGTTTCAGAACAGACGGACAAAGTGGCGCAAGAAGCATGCAGCCGAAATGGCCACGGCCAAGCGAAAACAGGAGGAACTGGGCGACGGTGACGGCGACTGCAGTGAACCCATCGATAGTGATTCCGAGAGTCTGGACTTGGGCGAGAGCGGCCGCAAGAGGTGTCGCATGGACGACGACATGAGGCAATAGGAGGCTTCGCTCACATCCCACTGAACTCTTTAGCCCATCCTGCTCTTCGACTTTCGTGGTGAATTGTAATATTTTGTGCAAAAAAAGGAAGATTCTTCATAGATTAGAGGCAACTTGGAAATTTGTAAAAAAAAAAGAAAATATTGAGATTTTACTTAACACTAAATTAAATGAGGATTAATTAAAGACAGACCTTAGGTGAATAAAAGACATTTACTATATACAATGTAGTGTAAATAAATTGGATTTATCGAGGATGAGGAATGCTTTCAATAGAATGCAGCATTTTGAGGAGGTGAAGAAGAGAAAAGAACAAAAAAAAATATTAAAGTACGTTAGTGTTTAGGCGATAATGGAAAATTTAATCGAATTTATTTAACAAAAGAAAAAAAATCCAGTAATGCATAAGAAACATTCCCACTCTGATTTATCATTCCACGATAAGTATTTTCTTCCTTTATATATTCATGCAAACAGTGAGAGTGAAAAATACCCTAATTCACAAGATATATTGCAAAGACAAGCCCAGCAGTTATTTATATTTAAAGAAAATGAAGTGAAAAAAATGGAAATTGTGATCATGTCAGAGCGTAAAAATGTCTCAGAAAAATCTCGATAAAAGCATAAAAAAAAGAAGGAAAAGAGAAAAAAGTACCCAATAAATTGTTTAATGGCAAATTTATGGCTACGCAATCCCGAAGAAAACGGACAGATGTGTGAGAGAGAGAAATGATTGAAGGCATAAAATGAGGAATGATTAATAAATTAAATTGTATATGTATATATATGTTGTAATGTAATGATCTCTAAACTAACAATAAAACGGCGAGAATTATTATAATTGAAATGAGATAAATGAAAATCAATTAATAAAAATATTATTTGAAAAGATACCCTCAAATTGCGACTCACCAAAAACTCTCTGATGCTGCTGACTTCTTTCTCACGCGCACTCGCGCGATCGTCGATGGTCCGACTAATTGGATCAATTTCCAGTGAGTGAGACCATTTAGTTGATTCTCCGGCACCCTCGCTTCAGCATGACTCGGACATTTTGGCATTTATTAATATCAAACGGCATTGGCATAAATTCGATTATGCGCTGCTTCTCACCCCAAATCGCTTCTCTCCTGTTGAACAAATAATGCTTTTTGTGTGCGCATTTCCTCAAAATGCACAGAAATGTTACACACAATGATGAATCGAATTCTGGGCCTTGCGATGCACGAGTGCGAAGCGACCCTCCGCCTGATCTTGCAGCAGCCATCGATAAATGGAAGAGAATTGCTATTTGCTGATTTGATGGCACTATAATTTGATTTTCTTCGTGGAAATTGAGATAAATAGACTCGTCGTTCACGGCGAGACTTGTTAACAAGCAAAATGTGATCATTCGCACACACCCCACTGAGATGAGGAAGAAAATTAAAAGCACTCTCCAAATTGATTAATGATATGGTCCACATGGTTAATCTCTCGCAGATAGAATGGTATTTTGTGAAATATGCAAACAAAGCTTGTAAGAACTCCAACATTTTGTATTATTTTTCATTCCTACTCTTTTTGAAGAGAAGAGAAGTATAAGAAGGCGGGGCATGCAAATGGGCGGGGTCTAATTTATCCACTTACTCAAACTTTTAATGACACTTAGTAAGGAAGTGCAAACTTACGTGAGATTTTGAAGTGGTTCTAGAGAAAAATAGAACTTTCCAACTTCTAGACAGTAAATAACTTCTAATACTCTGAATTATTGACTTACAAAGAGCATAAATGATATGAAATCGAGACAGATAAGGCATGCCCAGTATTTTAATCTCTTCACTACTGCTTTGCAGACAGACTATCCTTATTCAGTTTTGCATATCTCAACTCGAATGCAATTCACTATCCCGGCAGGACTCTATCGAGTGCCATCATCAACATCTTCCTATCTGGCGCAAGATCATGGGAAAGTGGTGTGACTTTGAGGCAAGTTTCTCATTTGATATTCACCTCTCAGTCGCCTCCGCAAACTGGATAGAGATTCTGGTGTTGCGATGGCGAAGGGAAACATTTCCGGGAAGCCAGAGTATTGGCAATTTTTCATGCAGATTGTGTCAAAGTGTCAGGATTGCGAAAAACATGAATTTGTTTTGCCTTTTTTTTGTACCCAACACAAAATGCCGCTCTCATGAATGATAGAGGGTTGATTTTTGCTTTGGCAAAATGAAATTTCTCTCTATGCAAATGCCTCACTTCGCCATTATGTACATTTAATATGGTCTGAGTGGGTGGGAAAAATGTGTCATGGCCGAGGATGGATGGATATATTGTCTCTATTTACTAAAATCCTCCCTTGTGCGCGCGGGAAGTTTTGAGTGTGGCGAGGTGATGGGAAACGCCGTGAATTCTGACCATGAGGCAGTTGGGCGAGGAGGAACTGCGGAGATCCCTTTTAAACACACCATTTCATGTGGTTTTGCATTTCCCCGGCCACGACCAAAATTGACTAAATGGCAATTAAAATTCGATTAATGCTGTACGTCGTCTCCCAATGTAAATCAGCCTCAATTTGTCCTCCCCTCAGGACAAACTTCTCGGGTTGGCAGTGAGTGTGAGTGAGAAAGTCCTGAAAGAGCCATTTATTGTCATCATTCGAGCACTCGCACACAGACACAGATTTTGGCGCAAAAGGTGTTGCAATATGAATTAATTTCATACAACATAATGACTCTCCTCTTTTTGTCCGTCCCTCGCAATGTCCTCACCGTGTGGCTCAATATAGAGCATTCGAATGATGTGTCAAAGGAAGATGAGAAGTTGATCGATGTTGCAATTATTAAATTTGCATAAAATAGGGTTGAATACTCTAATTGTTGGGCCAGGAATTGAATAAAAAAGGATGCGATGCATTCAAGTCGCCATGCAATCGATGCCGCACAATGGGAAGTGGAAAATGTCAACCCATTTCCGAGATGAGCATTTTTATGACTTTTTATCCCTTTCAGAACATTTCCTATTGAGTGGTGTCTCCATTTAGTTGAAATACACAACCCAGCGGGTATACCGACAAATGATATATGATATCACTCCAAAATATGGCTAAAGGGTGCCATTCTCACACACACTCAGCGAGAGCGAGAGAGCTTTGAAGACGAGGAGAAGCTTTTACAATGAACCACTAAAATTATTTTCCACATTTTTTCCATCCCTTCCTCCACAGCCGCATGTCACAATAATAAATGGGCGAAGGATGTTCCGAGAGCAAGAGTGAGTGAGAGAGAGCTTTTATCTCATCCCCCAAAAAACCCACCCGAGGAGTGTTTCTGCCTCATCCGTTGGCAGAAGGAGCGAGTCATCCAGGAGAATTCCATGTGACACAGGAAGGAAATTCCGGGTGAGTATTTAAGGTGAGGAGACACATGTTTTAATATCGCATGTAATTTTCAAGTAATTTCATCTATGTACTGGCGCCGGAGCTCCATATGTAGGCCCCACACTCGGCAACATCCTTAACGCTCATGAAGTGTTGCGAAAAGGGAAATTGTATAATGATGTCATTACCATAACAAAATCCTAACTTAACCCCATTTTAATTATAACAAATCCTTATGTAATAGATAAGGGTGGGATTACATGGAGAGGTTTTCGCCTCTCTTTCGTCATGCCAACAACCCTCATCATTGTCCGCTACTCCATTGGGCACAGCGCAATTCTATTTGCACCGCCAGCAAGCGAATGAAATGGTAGAGCCATGAACGACCTCATCACAGCACTCAAACCCGAGCGTGTTTCGTCAACTCTTGCCAAATTACGGGTAAAATATGTCCGTGAGAACATTTTGAGTGGAAAATATTGCAGAAAAATCCAATGCGAGAACATATTAAGTAATTTCATACAGATAAACGTAAAATCCAGGAAACGAAGGCACAGAAACTTGAAAAAAAACTCAAACAATCAAATGAAACTAATCAGTTATTCCTGGTTCAAGCTTCTTGACTTTAATTCTCTCTGAACGAGACACACAAGCAAGTACATATGTATAGTTTGTATAGATTGAATCTCTTTTAGTGTTGAAAAATCAAGAGTTTATGAAACGATTTAAGGTAGAGCCAAAGACTGACTGTGCTCGATAATCTTCCTCACTATTTATACAAGACATTTTGCTAAGATAATCCATCAGAATTAAATGATCTTTTCAAACTTATCACGAGATATTTCTACCGCTGGTGAAGAGCTGACCAGCAAGAGTAGCACCTTGAGAAAGAAGCATAACAAGATGAGTGACTATTATGAAAATATTAAATGTTAAATTCCATTTCGGGTATAATTGACTGCGACATGCGGTTGATCCAAATCTCAAACCGTATTAACTTCAGTGACAGATCGTTATTAAAAATCTCGTGTGTCGCGGACGGAAAAAAAGGAGTCACAATAGTAGTGATTTCGGGATGGGATGAAAGATGAGTCAGAGAGGGAAGCCGCAGAGTCAATGATCCCAATTTCTGATAAAATGCGGATTAGTGAAATTGTATTGTGGGGTGGAATTTTGCCACTGAAATCGAGAAGAAGGGATTAGCTAATTTGTATGCGGAATCCTCCTTCGGGCGATGCTGAATTGCATACTTAGGCGGAGTTCGCGGGAATCTCCGCGAGATCACCTTATAGAGATGTAAAGTGATCATTTGACGGTGTGTTTTTCTTCACGGGCAACTTTATGTGAAGCAGATCAAATTGATTGGCTCGGTGGCGGTATCAAAACAGCTTTTTAATAGCAACAATGGAGTCAACGGCAGACGAGAGAGGGAAGCCTGGCAGAGACTCGGAAGATTTAATCGGATTAACATTATGATATTTTCCACGAGATGTAATGTTGAGGAGAATATATCGCAGGTAATTTCTCACACTTTCATATGCACAGACTCGAGTGGCGGTGCGTGTTCGCAAGAGATTCCCTTTAGCAGTTGACTTTCTGGGCAGCGCATCAGAGATTCCACGCATCAAGAGTGCTCCTCATGTGAGATCATTCAGTCTTGCCGACATTGTGCCTGATCATCTATCCGTGAAATGGTCGATTTTGCCTTCTCCTCTCCCCATCATTGCCATTATGGCTTATTATTATTATTTGGCAAGTTGTAACTGCAAATTCACACCTTTTATCCTCACTTTTTTCACACCCTGAGCATCTGGCAAATTAATCCATCAATTTTATTGTTGTTTGCCATGCAATTCCATCAAGCATTCACGTGTATATAGTTATTTATTTTTTCCACCGAAATTTGCCACATAAAAGCTCCTTTCTGGGTCGAGTAATTCAATTAACACTCCAATTAAAATAAGCGGAGGAAATTAAATTGGAGTCAAGGAGAAAGTCTGTGCGGACTTCGAGGTGATCTCTTCCTCTCCCTTTTGCCAGCTTATATTTTCTGCTCCATTGAGCACATTTGCGAAATCCCTTCCGATGTGGTCTTCAAAAATCTCAGCAGAAGTCTCACATTGAAGATTGTGACACATTTTCTCTTTCACCTTTTGTGCCGAGATCAATGACGAAAGTAGCATTTAGAGAGACAGGGCTGAAGAAAGAGGGAATTAGGATCACTCTCTTTGTTCCTAGATCTGTATCTGGAGGATCTTAAGAGGGGTTGTTATTTTGTAAAAAAGTCAGCAATTGTTTTGATGCCTTATCAGTTTAATTCCTCATCTAAAAATCGGCGTTATATCAAAAAGAATTCAAAAAGTTTTCCCTCTGTGGAAGTCAGCTAATGCTATTGAGGGCTAAAAAAGGCATAGCTGAAAAAAAACCTTCATTCATGCGAAGAATTAGTGATAAATTCGACAGATTAGGAGAGAAATTTGTAAGAGGAAACAC